CGACGATAGGGTTAAGGGGGTTCTTAACTATTGCCTTAGAGCTACTCTCTTCCTGCGTACTACGTGCGTGCGACGTTTGCTTTATAGTCTTTTAAGGTGCTATTGCTCCTTTTGCCTTCTAACTTAGGTAGCCTAATAGTAGAAGAATTAGGAATTGTTAAAGGTGTACTTAGGTAGGCTAGGTAAGTTAGGCAGGCAAGGAGGTATCTTCTTAACAGGAGGAAGTAGCCGTATATTTAATAGCTAATTCTTGCCTTCTGCACTCTAAGGGAGTGCGGGAGGCGCTCTTTATCGTAGGCGCACCTCTAGCGCACCAAGTGCGCCGGACAGGCGCGACCCCGTTTCTACTTGGCCTGTGCGCTAGCACGTGCTGTGGCCTGTGCGCAGACTGCGCTACGCAGCCTGCGCTACAAGCACAGCTTCTAGTTTACGATGTGCATCTAATACGCTGTGCGCATACTGCGTACGGCTTGCGCGTAGCCTGCGTCGGTCCCTTTCTTAGGGCGGCGTTACATAAATATTTTAATATAGTAATAAAGATTATAAATGCTTATAAAAAGTATTAGTTTTAAAGTTAAAAGTAAAATATAAAATAAAATAAAATAATTTAAAGTAAGTAGTTATAGTTAATAGTATACTAGCTAGTAAGCTAATAAAGAAATAGCGCTATAATAATAATAAAATAAAGAATTATAATTTTATAAAAAGTAACTAAATTTTATAACTAGTTACTAGCTAAGGTTAGTTTACTTTTTAACTTACTAACCTTAATAGTTTAAATAACATTAATGTTATATTAAAACGCTAAAATTATAGCAAAAGTAAGCATACCTTTTAAGAGTGCTTAAAGCTTAAAACTTATATATAAGTTAAAAAGCTTTAAGCAAAACTAAAAGATAGACTTTAAGAGCTTAATAACTAAAAAGTAACCTACTTTAACTAAGAAAAACTAGTAAGGTTAATAAAGAAGCTTTATTCTTTATTAACCTTACTAGCATAGCTAATTTAGAATTTAATTCTTTATTATTATACCTTAGCTAAGGTATAGACGCCTAGTAATTACTAAGCTACTATTATTATAAATTAAATTCTTATACTAACTATAAGGGTTAGTATATAATGCGTAGTTACAAAGGCCTAACTAGTTTGTACTATTATATTAAGACTTTAACTTAACAAACTATAGGAGACTAGTAGGCGAAAGCTTGCTAGCTAATTTATATATAGCTAGAAGATGCAGTGTAGCGCAACCCTAGTAGAGCATAGCATAGCTAAGTGGCTATGCTAGTTCTATGCAATGTATTAAGATAGTTTGTTAAGTCCGTCGCTTACTTGTGCCCTGCCCTACCTAGGGCGCGCGTTTTTCAACGCGCACCACTATAGGTGGTGCTAGCTACCCTAATAAACAGACTACTCTAATGAACACTTTTTAAATTATTACTACCTCTAACTTTAACCTCTCTTTAAGCGACGCATACGCTTTCTAGACTCCCAAATTTCCTATAGGCTTAATCTCCCTTTAATTCTTATCTACCTAGCCTTTTTCGCGGCCTCTATAGACTACTTCTTTATTGCTATGTAGTACTTTTTCTCGGCGGCCTTAATTGCGCGCTGTTTTCTAGCCTTCTTCTCTTTGTCCTTTTATATAACCATCTTACAGGCTGTGGTTATGTTAAGGGTCCCTTTTAACTAAAGGCTAGTGTTTGCTTTAGCCCTAGCTTGTTGTCTTGCTAATTTAGCAAGTTTGGTGCGGCCTAGGTCTTTTTTTGTCTATACTAATTCTATAGCAATAGTTATTAATCCTTTAATTAACTAGCGAAGCTTATTATAGGTCTTTTAGTCTAAATTAGTGCTCTTCTTTATCTAGCCTTTAAGCTTATTTGCTACCTTATTAATATAATGTAAAGTAGTTAGTATATTAGCAGGTAAAGATAATATAATTAGAGGCGGTGTTAGAGTACGCTGTTAGTATTGCTAGCTTTAACGTATTTTAAGCTAGTTAAGTATAATATAGGGGTTAAAAGGCTTAATACTAGTCTTTTTAAAAGCAAAGGTAATTATAGGCTGCTTAAATTTTTATTATTAGATCTCTTATATAATCGAAAGAAAGTTAAGCTTGCTAAAGTTTATAAGTCTATCTTAAGCTAAGATATTAAGAGCTTTAGCATAGTAGTGCTTTAACGGCTAAAAAACAACAACGTTAAAAGGCTAAAGGATATAGGTAAGATGCAAAGAGAAGCTAAATAGTATAATACTATTATTATTATAGTATTTAATAAATTGCTTTATATAGTAACTACCGTGCCTATTAAGTATTAGCAGTCTTTTTAAACCTATTATATAGCCTTTTAAGTAGTTGTTAAAGTGCTATAACTAGCAAAAGGTAATCTTGTTATTAGTATAGCTAGATTCGTTTAGCAAAATTAAAGTATTGCTATGCAGCTATAGTAAAGTATATTAGCAGCTTATATAACGTTTACCGGCTAGAATTAAAAACGCAAGAAGATGCTAACTACTAGCCAAAATAGCTTTAATCGCTATTATAGACTCTTTGTTTTCTGCTATACCTAAATACTATACTCTCTTTCGCTTAGTAACAACTAGCTAATCTTTGCCCTTTCTAATCTAAAACCTAGTTTTGTCTATATTTTATATGTTATATAGAATAATACCTTTGTCTGCTATAACCTTTTACAGCTTTTTAAAGTACTCCTTTATAATAGGAATGCTCTCTTTAGTTTAAAGGTTTATATTCAAGGTCTTTTAGCGTATAACTTAGTATTTGTAGCGCTGTATAAAGCGAGCAGTCTAGTGCTCTTTAACAGGTTTGTAGTTATTACTAAGGCGCTTATAAAGAATTGTATTAGCAGCCTTTATAATAAGCTTGCGCTACACCGCAAGATTTACTGCCTCTAGTCTATCGATATATCTATATATAGCCGCCTCTTCTAGCTGTAATAAACGCGTGTGTGTAGCAGGGCGCCCTTTTGCTCCTAAACTGCTACTAAGGCGCCTGGTAAGCTAAAGGCGCGGGACGTTGAATTCTCGCGCAACTGTAGCAACTAGCGTATTTAGGTTTGCTTTTTTAAATTAAATAGCCTTTGCTAGTCGCTCCTTTATATCGTCTTTGTCTATATTTTTTTTATGAATTCGTAGTGATTTTTCGAAATTACTTTGCGAGAAAAAGTGTTTATTAAGGTGGTCTGTTTATTAGGGTGGCTAGCACTACCTATAGTAGTGTACGTTTTTTAACGCGCGCCCTAGGTAGGGCAGGGTATAAGTAATGTTAAGAGGTTAAAGCAAATAGGTTAAATGTAAAGGAAGACTAAAAAGGATTATACTATTCTTATTATAGTATTTAATAAACTAGCGCGTATAGTAACTACTATGCCTATTAAGTATTAGTAGTCTTTTTAAGCTTATTATTTATCTTTTTATATTTTTATTAAAGTGCTATAGCTACTAAAGGCTAATCTTATTATTAGTATAGCTTAATTTATTTAAAGAGATTAAAGTATTACTATATAGCTTTAAGAGAGTATACTAATAGCTTATATAACGTTTACTAGCTAAGTTAAAAAAAGTAAAAAGCTACTAGCTACTAGCTAAAATAGCTTTAATTATAGTAGTAGATTCTTTATTCTTTACTATGCTTAAGTACTACGCCCTTCGCTGCTTTATAACTACTAGCTAGTTCTTCCCCTTCCTAATTCAAAACCTAGTTTCGTCTATGTTCTATATTGTGTATAGGTCGATACCTTCGTCTACTAAGACCTTTTGCAGCTTTTTAAAATACTCTTTTACTTTAGGTATACTTTCTTCCGTCTAACGGTTTAGTTTAAGGGTTTGTTAGCGCATTACAGCGTACTTGTAGCGCTAAATAAAGCAAGAGGTCTAGTAAAGACCAACCGGCTTGTAATCCGAATCACTAAGCCGCTCACATAAAATCGTATTCGCTGCCTCTATAATAAACTACCGCCGCACCGCAAGGTTTACCATCTCTAGCCTGTCGATATACCTGCATAAAGCAGCCTCTTCTGGCTGCGAGAGGCGCGTATTGGTGGCAGGGCGTCCTCTGTAGCCAGAACCGCCATTAAGGCGCCTGGTAAGCTGCATGCGCGGTACGTCGAATTGACGCGCAACGGCTTAAAACTGGCGACTCCGGATTTGCTTCCTTAAAATGAATAGCCGCAGCCAATCGATCTTCAATTTCGTCTTGGTCCATAGCTATTTTTTTGGCTTTTTCAGCGATTTTTTGAAGTTAAATCGCGTTGAATTGTGCTCATTTGGCTGGTGTGACTATTTGGCTGGCTAGCACCACCTATGGTGGTGCGCGTTTTTCAACGCGCGCCCTGGGTGGGGCGGGGCACGAGTACTAGTCTTTTTTATACTTATTCAGTGTTTTTGGTCATTTTACTTCGAATCTATTACGATTTATACAGGGACGATTTCAGTATTCTGCCGCCTGTAACCGCCAAATAAATCACGTGGGCCCGCCATCTTATAATTTGGGCCCGCCACTCTATCAATTCACTGCTGGACCCCTGCGACATGTAGACTCTGCGCTCCATTCCAGAGCTTACAATAACTTAATACGAAACCATATCTAAAAAGAAAGAAGCTTTGTTCGATTTTTTGAAGCAGAGGATGTCTTTTTTGTTGCCATTTCTGTTTTCCAACACCGTACGGAGTAGACAAGGCGCCATTGTAAGACGATCGAGACTTGTGTCCTTTATGATGAACATTTACCTGTCAGTCCATTTCTATGTGACCTAAGTGCTATACAATATATAAGTCGCACCTGCCCTCCCCGGGTTTTTCTCTTTGTCTGTCCATCCTCCAGCCGCTGCCTGTGACTCCTGCCCTGAGATAGATTCCCAGAAAGTAAAGACGACGCCATATGTCCAGAAACAAAGAACAGACACTTAGATAGAAAGAGCGAATCAATTCAGACGCCCATGCCATATAATGCACAGAAGGGCCAACGCTTACATTCTTCATCACACTCTCTCTCGTAATGACACCCCGTCCTTGAGCTTCCACGTCTTGTGTTGTCCTGAGCCTGTCCGTTCTGCCAGGGCCTCTAGCGAGTTCTTGATCTGGCTCTTGGTGCACCTTTCAAACTCAGCGCTCAGTATCTCTACTATGCCCAGCTTGCTGAGCTTTGAATATTGCATAATCGCCTTCTTGAAGTCTCCCACGAACTCTGCTGCAACTACCGCTTTCTTCGGATCAGCCTTTCCAACCGCACCGAGGATATTATTGGCCCCGTTGCTACCGATGCCACCTTGTGCCGCTGTCGATGCCCCCAACGCAGCAAGTGCATCGGTTGGTACCGGTGGCGGCGCCATGGGCTTGGGCGTTTTCGCAGCCCCACCAGTACCGCCAGGCTTCAGGGCTTCTGTCGACGCACACGGCTCGCTGCCGCTTGGCTGTATTTCCCAGTATTTGGTCGATACCGGGGTCGGATAGCACCATCACAATCTGTCAATACGTCCAAAGTTAGAGCGATTTTCAAGCCTGCTTAGCTTTATAAGAAAGGAGAAATATACCCATTATGAACTCCATGCGGTAGGCATCCATGATGGGCAATGGGGCTTGCCTCAGCTGGTTCTCCCAGCACAAACCGGTGCTCTCTGGTTCCATGCCTCCAGAGAAAGCTGCCCGCAAAGGAACTGCATCCTCTGAGTCGTCCAAGAAATCTGACATCTCCTCGTCTTCCTCCACCTCCTCTTCTTCATCATCTAGGTCATCCACATCCTCGCCGTCACCATCGTCCACCCACTCAGCCTCGGAATCATAGTCGTAGTTGAGCGGCAATTCTGTCTTGGCCATTGGATTTCGTGCAAGTTTTGACAGCCGCGCATGCACCGGTATATTTGTAGCTGTGCCATAGTAGGCCGGACGTACGTCCTCTCGGAAGCCCCAAAAAACTTCATCGGTATTGTCTTCAGCAGGTCCAGTGCCATCTTTGTTTGAGGATTCCCCATATCCCCCACATCTGTGTTCGCCAGCATTGACATGATTTTGCGTACAGTTAGTCGTCTGCGTCCACGCGGTTGCCGGTAGGAAATATGAAAGTAATCAGCAGCCGTCGATGCGTCCAATGTTGAGGGAATAAACTGTCCGCGTGAGCCGGAGAGATACTCGTCGAGAGTTCGCGATTTGGTGTCTTTCGTCTCCGCGTCTAGTCCATAGAGGCTTGTGGCCACAACGACATTATCCTTGACAAAAAAGGGTTTGAATATCCTGTCGTACTCGGTCACCTCCGTCGTTGGGGCCTCAAGGGGCGACACCTTGGAGGGGGTGCTTTGAACAGAGCCAGCCATGAAGGCAGATGCTTTTTTTGGTGTCGACGGTTCGCCCACCTTGAAAAAAGAGTTGAGCTTCAACTGGCTCCGTTCTTTCTTCCTCTTAGCCTCCTGGGATTTTCTCTCTTCTTCCTCCTTTTCGCGACGCTTTGCTTCCTTTTCCTCGGCCTTTCGTTTGTCCTCCTCTTCCTTCTGCTTCTTTCTCTTCTCCTTCTCTTCGGTCTGTGCGCGCCTTTTCGCTTCTGTAGCTGCTTTTTGCTCTTCTTTTTCCTGCTTGCGCACAACGTCCGCTTTTGTCTTTTTTTTTTTCTCGGCAGATGTCAAGCGTTTACGTTTGACAGAAGGAGCGCCGCTGCTGCCAGAAGAAGCCGTAAACGGCTGGGACTGTGGTGGTGGAGTGGCCGGGTCCAAACTGATAAAGAGTCGTGGTAGTGGATCGGCAAGCGAAGGCTGGTCTGAAGAAGTCGAATTAGGAGATGGCGATGGCCGCGTTGCCATATTGTTCTCTGTGTCACTCAAACGAGCCATTGGCTCGGACAAAGGTGAGTTAAGTGGCTGGGCGGCGTCTGGTGTTGGAAATGGCTGTTTCTTCTCTTCTAAGGTAGGGAGTTTTTCGGACTATCAGCTCATGGCTTCAATTAATATAAAAGAAGGGTTATAAGGGGTCCACTGACTATAAACCGGCGTGTTCTCGACATCTAGTATGAGATGTGCTTTCCGGTCTACCGCAGTTGGATTCTGATCGAGGTAGTCTTCAAGGCTTCGTTTCCGAGTTGGAGGCTCATGGGCGTCCTTGATGTTGAGGGCCATTGCGAGAAGAGGCATCTGAGGATGGCAAGCAGTGCCCAACCAACCGAGCAAAAACAAAAGGGTCCAAAACACGCCAGAGGTCGCTCACGTCCCCCCCCCCAAATATAAAACAAAAACAAAAAAAAAGAGAAAAAGACGGGTTTTTGGGCGCAGTCGTATGATGATAGTCCCACACGTAACCTGCTAGTCGAGCGCGGGCTGGGATTATGGGTACTGAGGATGTGCCTCCGAGAAAGATAATGAAATGGGATTGTGATGCGTGGCCCACACGATCGGGAGGTCCATGGACGCGTTAACAGGTCTCTGGCGGATTACGGAGTTCGCGTTAATAAATTGGCGTCACGGCGCGGTTTTCTGTGGCTGTACTTGTGGCTTTCCTTTCGCACACTGCGTTCACGTGACTTTCCTGCAACATAGACCAAAGAGCACAAGACTCTACTCCTTACGTCGTTGGTAGTGTCCTGGGTAAGTGATGTAGGCCCCCGCATGTACGGAGTATGGAAAGTTGGACCCAATTTTGCAGCTCGTAGGCCTCCCAGCTTTCTAAATGGAGTTCAAATAGTTACGGAAACGTATACTATCTTACAAAGCGTTGCTACATAGTACGAAGTACTTTATTTTTAAACTCAATTTTCCTTTGAATTAAGCCGCTTTCATATTGAAATAAAAGTAAAACAACTTTCTAGAAAAAACGCAGCAACCAAAGGGTCCTTGTTAATTATAAGTAGTATATAGTATAAACTTCATAGAGTAGCTTGACTATATATAATGCGTTATATATATTGTTGTAGTAGCTATATTGCTCTTTACCCTTTTTGCCTCTTCTTGATAGTATACTGCTGATCACCACCTTATCAAGTAGTGCGCAATTTCGCCGTATCCCTCCAAGTAGGGCGTGGCACGAGTAAAGTACTGGAAATCAAGGAAAGAGGCATAAGGAGTGTTTAGGTTAATTAGGATGCTACAAGTCGAAGGTACGACAAGTTTGTGGAATACTACTGCTTGCTAGTATTTCGTCTCTTTACCTTACTTCAGCTCGCCGTCTCTACAAACGATGTGGCAGCCAGCCCACTAACGGTACCGTCCGTAAGTTAAAGGCGTACTATGCTGTGTAACAATGCACATGGGGCGGATTTATTACCAAGGGGTTTAGAACGGGGATGAGAGCTGTCAAAGACAAGTGTGCAAATCATGTTAGTTGGTAAGAGGTAGTTATATATATCAGACAGAAAGGGTACACATTCAGGGTAACTGCCAACTTTAAGAGCCCTAGTAAACGCCTATCGATGCTGTAGTGTGGAAGAATGCCACCAAAAGGAGAGATATAGGAAAAGATCAGATAGTCAGACATTAGCATCCCGTATCTCTGTGTTCAAGAAGCAGTAGAACCTGACCCTCTCTAGGTAAATTTGGAGAAAAATTAGACTATACATGCGTATGAACGAAAGAAGCGCGCAAGCAAGCAAGCAAGCAAACGAAAAGGGCTATGCTCGCATGAAGGGGCACTTAATCTGGGTTGGCGATAAAGAGCCTGCCGGTCGAGAGAGTCATAGTCCTCTCGTCGACGCTTCCTCGCCGACGTAAATCGTCGGGATTCCTAACACTCTTTTCGCGGGTCAAAGCCGCATGGCTGGTGCTGTTGGGCGGCATCCGCCCAACGCTGCTGAGATCTGGAACGTTGTCAGCACGCTCTGCGCTGCTGCCGCTTGCTGTGCTGCGTGCTTTGCCACTGGCAGCGTCGTCACGGACGCCCTGGCCATCGAGCCCGCCCATAGCACCACCTCCTATCCCATCGTCAATCAGGCTGCCGGCACGCTCGGGAGTGTCGCCAGGGCTCCACCGTCGCGGTGCATTTTGTGCATTTGAGACTGAGGGATTGAGGGCACCGGCCGAGGTTCGGAAGGGAGGCACACGCCGGCCACTAGCAGTGCTGCTGCGGCCACTGCTGCCGGTTCGGCGGTGGTGTCCGCGTGCCGCAGGAATGTCTTCGTCTTCGCTGTCTTCGCCTTCAACCTCGGCTGCACTCAGCCTCAGGGGAACACCAGCAATGCCGACGTAATTACTGTCGGCACCAAAGCCCAAAGCGCTCGCCTTGCCGTGGTGCCGGATCTTGGCAGCGACCTTACCACCGGTCGACAGGCCGGTGCTGGTTCTGCCGCTACCATTGCTCGACACGTATGCGCCGCCACTGGAACTGATCTCGCGATTGGCACGCATCTTGGCGGCGCGTTGCTGGGCGGCGACGCGGGGGTCTTCAAATTGAGCACGCTCGCACCAGACGGTGGCTTTCTGGCGGCGGAGCAGGGCGACATACGACGGCCCACCGCTGCTGCCAGCGCCGCATGACCGAGATGACGTGGACCTCCTGATGTCGTTGGTAGGACTTGTCCGGTATGCAGCAGGTGGTGCCATGCCGGTGCTGGATACCGAACTGAACGTGTTCACAGATGGCGAGCGGCGATTGAAGCCTGCTGGTGGCTGGGCAAGCTGCATCGGGTTTTGTGGCGGAATATGGTTGGGAGGCATCGGATTGGAGGCGGGGAAGATGTTGGACGAGGTTGTGCGTGTGCGGGAGTGAGCGTAGGCATTTGTTGTGTCGGTCGGGACTGGGCGCCGCCGCACAGGTAAGTGGTGGGCTTCAAACATGTCCCGGTGAAGACAGGCGAGCAGGAAGATGGGGGGAAAAAAAGGAGACGAGGAGAGTAAAAGGGACCCCAGGCCAAACTGAACTTCCTACAGTCCCGGCACTGTGATTTCGTCTGTCCTCTCCCTTCGCCCCCTTTCGTGTTTTATCCTCCTGCGGTGTTTTTTTTTTTCTTTCAGCCCCTTGCACTTTGCTCTTCAGATATGCGCGTGGTCGGCGGGCTTCGGTAATTGATTGCCAGCGGACAAATCCTCAAAGCTCCGACCGGGCCAAAAAGTCCAAAAACAGGGGAAAAGGGAGGAAAAGAAGGGAAAAGAAAGCAAGGGTTTCAATAGTCGGTGGGCAAGGCACAGACGAGACGCAAAAAGGAAGAGGGTACGAGTGCAGAAAGAGGGAGCCGTTCAGCGGTTGTGGAAATACTTTCGGCTGAAAGCTGTTTGGGTAGCCGGCGGTAGCGGTCCGGATTTCGTCCAAGGTGACCCGCGAAATTGCGTAAGAGCGTCGTACTTGGCAGCTATGGAGCTGCAGCGAGATCTGTTGGGATCTGTTGATTTCGTCGTCCGTCAATTCAGCGCGGAACGAGTATACGAAGCCTTGGAAGGCATATGCGAAAGAGAAGGCAGTGATTGGGGAGACGGGAAAGCAAGGTGGGAAGCTGGGGGGAGTTTTATTGGAGCGGTCGGTGGGCGCCACCTTTGCTCGGCCCTCTTCAACATGGCATAGCGCCCAGTCTGATGATGTTATGGTGTGAAGAGGATGTGTATGGGCTCTGTTGGCTGGACGGGAGTGGGCGGAGAGTGTCTGTGGAGAACGAGCTAGGATACGAAGCGGGCAAGGGTATAGAGCAGGCCAATAAGTGACGAGAACCGGGGGGTGTTGCACGTTTTGTAGAGTATCGTCCGGGGTGCTTCAATGGGATTGCCTTTTTTTATATTTCCCTTCTGTTGCCCATCTGTCAGTCCTAGCCCGGCTCTTGATGGATCAACTTCTCTCTTATTGCGTGTTTCCCATCGTCTACTCAGTATAGAGTGGGATAGCGAATTTTTCACCTGATATTTTGGGTCAAGCGGGAAGTAACGGCTTGTGAAGGAAGGAGGCATAATGACGTCTTGCCTGAGTTAGCGGTTCAGGCGCCTTTGACTGGCCGCTCCGGGCTAACTGGGCTGCCTCTAGGGCGCAAATTACACGATATATTTTGCTGACGCCAAGGCGAATACCGTTAAGACGAATTTGCAACAAAGAAAGCGAAGCAAGAAGTGTCGGGCGTCGTGGCCAAGGAGGAAGGAGGGAGGAGAAACATCAGCACAGATCCTAATTGCCAATAGGTGCTAGCATTTGGTGCTTCTGCCCTTGCCTTCCCAATTCGGCAACCCTGTTCTCGGGGCTGCAGCTTGTCACGTTTTAGTTGCATACGGAATGCCAATTATCTCACATAGCAGGCCATTTAATATGTGACAGACCGACGGCTTGCTTGCACACAATGCAATCACTACTCGTACCAGTCGCTTGACTGTCAGTGTGCCTTGCGGTGGGGAGCCGGACTGCCCATCTGACTGCATGCCAGTCATCAGATTGGGTCATATAAGAGGATACGCCGTATACTCGTACTTCGTACCTCGCGTTCTCCGAAAGGCTGAGACGCACAAGGACGCCAACATTGCTGCCGGGCTGACCTCGCAGGGTGCGACCGCGCTGAGCGACAGGTGTTGCCAATAATCGAAAGATGAGGTATTTTTTGCTATTTTTGTCCATATCTGCCCCATCATATTTACACACCAAAGGACGAAGTACGAGTGCTGGAGGCTGAAAGCATTGGGGTTTTTGTGATAGCGATGCATTATTAGCCCCATGGCCATCGGGGATCGCATTCGCCAGCGCAAGGTGCAGACACACTAACGGATCGTTCTGCCTTGCTCTCTTCAAGAACGTAGCATTGAGGGTTTTGTCGGGCCCACCCCCCCTTCCCACTACCCTACGGGCCTACGGGGGCGGAACCGGGCTTCTTCTCGGCGGTTTTTTGATGGCCTGAAAAAGGGTATTTTCACTTTCCTTTCTAGTTCTGGCCTCCCAGCACTTCGCCTCCATCCCAGCAGCATTGTGCTTCAGGTTTCAGACCTTGGATCCCTTTCTCCCCTTTTCCTACTATGTATCGTAGGAAAATTGCAGTGGTTTTATGTATCTTACGAGTACTCCGTATCAACCGGTGAGCAATATTCGAAGTTTGTCGCCCAACGACGGTGGCCGCCGATCAGCAAATGCTACTCTGTCAGGCTGGCAGACGGAAGGGCCGGCTGCACAATTGTCTCCATCGGTCGATAGGCCTGGAAACCTGCTCTACTTTGTACCCACCGCCGCTTCTCAGAAAAGAAATGATCAACGCACTGGAAGAGCGAAAGCGCGGGGATAGAGATCAGCCTTGCCAGGTTGCAGAAAATCTCCTGACAGATTCCCAGGAGCGATACTCCGTACTCCGTACACAGTACGAGACGACTCGGATGGTCACATGCCTGGTATCGTGACTTGCTGATTAAGGCTTCGTGGCGGTGTCCACACTCGGCCCTGTACTTCGTACATAGTTACATAATACCGTATTAGTGGGCCGGTTCGGGTATCCATAGGAGGGGTAGGCTGCTGTGCTCCGTACATAGTATGGAACACGGTCGAATGATTCGATCCCCGCTAATTATAATGGAGGCGAGCGGGCACAATCAAAGTCCAGACAGGTGCAGCAATCTCGGGCGCGGTGAATTCCCGTTGCACATGTGCCGGCAATTGTCTTGTCAATTTGTCTTTTCCGCCCAGCCGCACGCCGACATCTAACCTCGTCGCCTCGAATGCTTGTCGTCTCTGGCCGTCACAGTTTCTGAAATGCCTCCCGACTGGGATCCGCTGCACAACAACAGCGGCGGAGACCGCAGCGGAGACAGCAGCTCCCCGGTGTCCGGTGTTGCCTCTCAGCCGTCTGGTCACGTTGCAGCGGCCAATGGGATAAACAGTGGCGGGCTGCTGTCGGAACTCGCGTCGCCGCGCTGCCAGGTACCCGAGCTGCCCGATGTCTGCCACCAGCTCCGCCGCAAGCTGCTCGCCTTCCTCGAAGAGCGGCCTAACGGGAAGACGCTCCAAACCGTGCAGGTGCAGATGCGCGTCTCGATGGGCGTGATCGACGAGGCCCTGCGACGTTATGCGTGGGTGTGCCTGACTGTGCCTGCGTGCTTCTCTCCCGCAATGCTTCTCTGTGCTGACGTGGCCTTTGCAGACTGGACGAACTGGCGCTCTCCTATAACGGCGGCAAAGATTGCCTGGTCCTGCTTATCCTCATTCTTGCCTGTCTTCCTGTGCGAACGTCCTCTCCCAAGGCCAACGGACGGCCTAGCGACACCGCAGAACCGGACGCGGATGCCACGGCCGCAGCTACCAGCACGGCAACCGAGGCGCAGACGGTCGCTCGCTTCCAGGCCATATACATTGTTCCCCCAGACCCGTTTCCTGAAGTGGATGCGTTTGTGGAGACGTCTACGAAGCAGTACCATCTCGACCTCGCACGGTACGCGCTCCCCATGCGCGCGGCGCTTGATGCCTACCTCGGCGACCACAAGACGGTCCGAGCCATCTTTATGGGCACACGACGGACGGATCCGCACAGCGAGTTCCTGACACAATTCACGCCCACTGATGCAGGCTGGCCGCAGTTTATGCGTGTGAATCCTGTGCTTGACTGGCACTATGCAGAGATCTGGGCAGTGCGTCACAGCCTCCCTATTCCCGTGCTCTTTTTTAATGGCTGACCACATAGTTTATTCGACATCTCGATATACCTTTCTGCAACCTCTACAACAAGGGCTTCACCTCGCTGGGTGGCACCACGGACACGCGGCCGAACCCGGTGCTGGCAACGAATGGAGCGACAGACACGTTCCGGCCAGCGTACGAACTGGTGGCTGACGACGAAGAGCGGCTGGGCCGCGGCCGATAGGAGAGAGCCGGGACGATGGCGCTGGAGTGCTTGATGATGTTGGTAACATGCATTCGCTTGACAGGTACAGCAGCCGTGGTACGACGAGAAGCGGTAGGAAATGAGGAGAATTTCCGGGCCAGATAGTGAGACACAGGCGGCACTGGAGGGAGACAGGGCTTGCGGGCACGCGGGAGACGCATTGGCTGGAAATGCACGCAGCAGTGTGACTTAGCCCGCGTGCAAAGGGGACAATTCCAGCGATTCTGCATGATTAGACCCTCAGTTTATTGTCCGATATATGCATCACTAACAGGCTTTGGGAAACCAGACTAGACGGATTCTTCTTTGTTGTCTGGTTTTGACTAGTTCCAGCTGTGCTGCCCATGCTGCAATGCCCAGCGAAAAAGGTCTATCTCGTCTGTGCTTTCTGTTCAAGGTGCTACATTCGACGTAGGAGCTGAGGGAGACCGTGTGGGTCTTTGGAGGCCTCTGATTGGCCGCCGTATCATGTTAGTGATAGTACCAGGTATCCACAAGCAGGAGACAGCCTTTTATTTTTATTTTTTAGCTTTCTGCCGATGTGACGTGCTCCCTTTCGTTTCAACTTTCCTGCGAACAAACGCGCAAGAGACGTACGCAGCTTCTGGACGACGCGCGTGAGCGGCTTGAAAGGTGCAAGGCCTCGATCAACTAGCGACCGGCAAACAGCACGCAAACAGCACGAGATCTAACACATGCCAATGGCCGTGAAAATATGAAGTTCGCCAAGGAACTCGAGCAGGAGCTCGTGCCTGGTAAGAACCGCTTCTCACACTGCTGTCTTTCGCTTCTACGCGTTCTCTTTCGCCTCTCGTCCGCTTCTAACATCTTCAGAGTGGCGGATCAAGTACCTAAACTACAAGGCAGGGAAGAAGTACGTCAAGGCGGTGAGCCGGGCGATAAGTCGCGCCAATGCCACACCGACAGGCGACCTGCCGCGACGACTGTCACAGGGCTTTTTCGCTCCCGGCAGTCCGTTCAGCCCGGCAAAGGCGAGCAAGAATGCGGCACCGAGCGGACCGGATGCAGACGAGGAGGGGGTGGCGTCGCTGCGAGACAGCCCGGCGCCTCTGGGACGTCTGAGATCTACACCGAAGCAGACGACACAGCACGCGTCCGGGTCTGGACGAGTTCAACCCGGCACGAACCAGGCCGAGCGACACGGCCTCACGGGACCGATTCCAGAGCGGTCGCAGCACTACGGCAGTTTTATGGCCTCGGCCCGGTTTCGCAGTCCGTCTGTGGCCACGGATAGCTCTCGGCTCTTTGAACTACCGGCGCCGGCGATTCGCGTGCCGTCTCACACCAACGGGAACGCGCCGGACGAGTCGTCCGGCGCCGAGACGTCTGCCACGGCTGCTGCCACCGTGAGCACCGTAGCCGCCACCGGTGCCGTGACGGCAACGCCGCCCGGTCCCTGGATGCCTAATATCCAGCGACGCAGCCTGTCGATGGCAGCGGGCTCGCAGCTGTCCGGCACGCTTCCTCTGCCGTCTCGGGCGCCGACGTTCCCGTCTCTGTACGAGCTGACGCCGCGGCAGCGGCTGCGGCGGCTGTTCTCGGCGGCCACTCCGGCGCAGTGGGGCGCAGACGACACCAATAAGAACGACATCGGACTGCGGGCGCTGGATGAGGTGCGCGAGCGCGAGCTCGACTTCTTTCGGCTGCTCGACAGCGAGCTCGAAAAGGTCGAGTCGTTTTATAAGCTCAAGGAGGAGCAGGCGGGCGAGCGGCTCAAGATGCTGCGCGAACAGCTGCACGAGATGCGCAACCGACGGGTGGTAGAGATCCGGGCGTCGAAAAAGCACAGCCGGTTCAGTCCATTCGGCGACGGCAGCAGGACTCCCGTCAGCAAAGGCAACAACAACGGCAAGCCCAGCGTGATCGCAGGCGACGCGCTAGCTGAGCCGCACAGCAATGAACATGACAGCTGGATCGGACCGATCCGGGCGAAGCTATTCCGGCCGGGGCCCAACTCCAAGGCGCTGCAGGCGATGGCGCAGACGCCACGGATGTCGGGCGGAATGGTGTCGCCGGCTGCAGCCCCTGACGAGCGGCGGGACTACACCCGGCGGGCACCCGACGACGACATTCCGTACCGCACGGCCAAGCACAAGCTCAAGCTGGCGCTGCAGGAATTCTACCGCGGACTGGAGCTGCTCAAGTCGTACGCTATCCTCAACCGCACGGCCTTTCGCAAGCTCAACAAGAAATACGATAAGGCCGTCGGGGCTAGGCCGCCCTACCGCTATATGAACGAGCGGGTCAACCGGTCCTGGTTCGTCAACAGCTCCGTGGTGGACGACCTGATCGTGGCTGTCGAGGACCTCTATGCCCGCTACTTTGAGCGTGGCAACCACAAGATCGCCGCCGGCAAGCTGCGCGCCCTCACGCGCCGCCCCGGCGACGAGTCGGCCAGCGCCTTTCGCAGCGGCCTTCTCATCGGCGTCGGCTCCGTCTTCTCCATCCAGGGCACCGTCAGCGGCGCCCGGCTGCTGCGCGATGCTGACCCCGTCGTCCACCAGCAGACTAGCTACCTGCTACAGATCTACGGCGGCTACTTCCTCATGCTGTACCTCTTCTCGCTCTTCTGCCTCAACGGCCGCATCTGGACCATGAACAAAATCAACTACTCCTTCATCTTCGAGTTTGACCCGCGCTCCCACATCGACTGGCGCCAGCTCTCCCAGTTTCCCAGCTTCTTCCTCCTGCTCTTTGGCCTCTTCTTCTGGCTCAACTTCTCCGTCCATGCCAATCCCGACCTCTTTCTCTATTATCCCGTTATTTTGATTGGTATCACCCTCGTCTTTCTCTTCCTCCCGCTGCCTACTCTGTGGCACCGCAGCCGCAAATGGTTCCTCTATTCTCATGTGCGTGAACCCTTTTTACCCGTCTTGTCTACTACTGACACGTTGCAGTGGCGCCTCTTTTTCGCTGGCCTGTATCCGGTCGAGTTCCGTGACTTTTTCCTCGGTGACATGTACTGCTCGCTCACATATGCCACCTGCGTAAGTCCCTCGTCTGCTGCTTAGACCTTGCACCTGCTAATTAGCCACAGAACGTAGAACTCTTCTTCTGCATTTATGCCCACGAATGGGATGACCCTTCCCAGTGCAACTCTAGCCGGTCCCGCCTCCTTGGCTTCTTCTCGACCCTCCCGTCCATCTGGCGTGCTTTGCAGTGCATCCGCCGCTACCACGACACTAAGAACGTGTTCCCTCACCTCGTCAACTGCGGCAAGTATGTCATGACTATTCTGAGCTACGTCTTCCTCAGCATGTACCGCATCAGCGGGACCAACGCCAACCTCTCGCTGTTCATCGTGTTCTCAGTCATCAATGGCCTCTACACATGTGAGTCCCGTTGGCCGCGCTTTGCGATCCTGGCGGAACTAGAACTGACTGGCCACAGCGATCTGGGATCTTTTCATGGACTTCTCGCTGCTCCAGGCCGAGTCCCGCTACTTTTTGCTGCGCGATATCACGGCCCTCAAGCACCGCTGGGTGTATTACGTAATCATGTTCATCGATCCGATCCTGCGCTTCTCATGGATCTTCTATGCCATCTTCACGCATGACTCGCAGCACAACACGATCGTATCCTTTATGGTGTCCTTTGCCGAGGTGACGCGCCGTGGCATGTGGGCGCTCCTGCGAGTTGAGAACGAGCATTGCGGCAACGTTGCGCAGTACAAAGCGTCCCGCGACGTGCCGCTGCCGTATCACCTGCACGTGACCAGCGCTAGGTTAAGCCACGAGTTCATGGGCGTGGCAGACGACGAGGACGAGGTCAGCATCGGGCGGTCAACGGCTGTGGAAGAAACCCCGTCGATCCAGCCGACGAGAAAGGACAGCGTGCATGTCTCGAAGCAGCAGCAGCAGCAGCAGGGCGTTGCCGGGACGCCCGGATCCGGAGCAGGGCCGTGGGCCGATTACGGCAGCAACGTCGAGGAGGGTGCGGCCGGGCGGCCGGGCACGGCAGCGGACGGGTCGATGGCAGGCGGCACGACGTTGCGGCGACGGCGGACGTCGACGACGGCGACGGGCAAGAAGACGATTGCAGCGATCATGGCGGAGGCACACATGCAGGACTTCCAAAAGAAGCGACAGCCCGAAGCACCGCCGGCCGTGGGACCGCTACCGAGGCAGATGCACGAGGCCAGCAGCGACGACGGCGCCGAGGATGACGACGACAGCGACAGCAGCGATAGCGATGGCGGCATCGGCATGGTCCTTGCCGGTGTGGCCGACGGTGACGATATGGACAGTGAAAGGGGTGGTGGTGGCAGTGGTGGTCGAAAGCGGTCGACGACGGATGCCAGCCGCAAAGACGTGTAATACGAGCGAGGCGTTGGTCACATTTAGATTTCTTTCTTCACTATGCCTTGGATCTTGTCGAGTTTGATTCCTACTTTGCTCTTTTTTTCCTCTCTCTATAATTTGATGTGTGATAGACGTGGAATATGCCGGCTCAAGGAAATATAAAGCGTATACTATACCCCTATCCTCCTTTTCTTTTTTCAGGTGGGTATGTCTCCCCAAGACAGAATGACCAGGCTGCTGGCCAGGGCCGGGACACCGGCGGCCGACACGAGCTCGCCACCGGTCCACGACCAGGTCAGGTTGCCCCACGGCACTCTCTCGATTGAGTGTAGGGCGGCACCGGAAGCGGACGAGGGTAGGGCGATCTTGATAGGACCGGCAACGTCATCGTAGCCGCTGTTAACGACGGATACCAGCAGCGTGCTGTTGCGCTGCCAGCAGGCCACATCTACAGCATTGCTGTTGCTGCTACTGACAAGCAGGGCAACTGGAGAACTGTTGCCGACAATGTAGTCGAGCACGGGGCTGTGCGAGAGAACGCTAGCGATCTGGCCGTGGGCGACGGAGAGGACCTCAGGGGCCGGGTAGACCCACGAGATAAGGGCTTGGGCACCGTGGTTGACGGACAGAAGGGCGGTGGCCCACTCCTCGGCCGGGGTGGGGTTGCGCGACCAGTAGCCCTCACCACTGAAGCTCTGGGGGTTGTGGACCTTTGTCTTGGGCCAGAGGCCGAGCCAGGCCTCGTAGCGAGCCATGTCATCGAGGCGGTTGCGCACGTCCTGGACGGCATGGCCGCCACCGACGCAGTTGTCGCAGCCGCAGTCGCCCAAGGTGGAATTGACGGCAGTATCCCACTTGGAGTAGGTTGCGTTGATGCCGATTGGATAGACGTCCTCCATGACAAAGTCGGAGCCGGCTGTGTAGGGCCCATAGTAGTAGTTCTGGCAGTTGAGTACGACAGCAACGGGATGATATGGGTCGATGCTGCGGACAGCATTGCGCGCGTTGACGGCGGCCTCGAAGGGGTCCTGATGGCCATCGGGTCTGTGAAGGGGGTTGTGAGTGCGAACACGCTTTGTTTAAGGGACTGTGGAGGTAACGCACTCATCCGCACTCCAGTACGAAAAGAGGGCGGCGTTGTCGCGGACAGCAGCGACCTGGCCGGCAACCCAGGTCAGGTTAGTGTAGCCCTCACGCAGGTCAAATTGGAAGCGCAGATCGGCAGTCTCCATGTACTCGAAGGCGACGGTGGACTCGGGATAGTGGGCGAGCGGAGTGATACCGCTGAGGCCGTAGGCGGAATAGTGACCGATGACGGAAGCAGCCGAGGCGGCATCAGTGGCGTTGGCAAGAAAGCCGTCGTTGGAGGCATAATAGCCGTAGGGGAAGAAGGGCTGAAAGCGGCCGTGCGTGGCGGCGCTGCGGAAGAGGAAACCGCCGTAGAGGTTATCGATTCGGGTAACACTACCGTTAGTCTTCTCCGGCAGGCACGAGAGGGCGGTTGCAGCAGTGTAGGTGGCATTTGTAGTGCCATCAAGACTAGTCAGCCAGCCGGTGAGGGTTATGTTGACGTCTCGGTCCGTGAGGCCGGCGAGTTCGGCGAGGCGAAACGACACGATCGTGTCGGCACTGGTCGACGCAAGAAGAGCCACGCCGGCGGTCAGCTCCAGGCCAGAGGCATCAGCGGTGATGTGGAAGTGCAGCACATGCGGCAATTTGTAGAGGCCGGGTGTCGGCCGTGAGCCGTCAACGTTGGCCGGCAGGGGACTCCCGTGGTAGTCCGACACGGTTGTGCGTACGATCAGCTCAGCCTCGGGCTCGCTGTCTAGGTAGAGGCTGTAGCGCGGAGCCAGCTGGACGTAGAGCAGTGGCGCATCTGGGGAGGCTTCTGGCTCAACCGTCTGACCGCCTGGATCGAAGCTGGGGTAGCTGCAGAGGGAAGAAGGTCGTCAGCAGAGAAGCACACATGCAAGATCCAAAGGCGGACTCAGCTGCTCACCCTGGCTCGTAGACCTTGCCGCACCAGCGTGGCCAGTCGGTATGGACGCCCGTCTCGTTTTGACACAGGGCGTAGGGCACTTGCAGAAGTAGGCCAACAAGAAGCGAGCGTGCAAACACAGCCATGATGGCAGACAATGTTCACGACACGGAGTTGCGGTGTGGAGGAGACAGACATTGTGGGATTTACAATGGCAGGCTACAAATGTACTGTCCTCTGGCGATCACTCGTGCGAGAACGCTGCCTTTGGCCGAAAGGGGAAGCTGGCTGCCCATGTTCCCTACGACGTAGAGACCTGAGGAAGGTGCTGATCGACGGCTCCTTCCAGGCCCATACTCTGTAATTGGTAACAGCTCGAGTTCCTACCAAAAGGATCGCTGCTCTGTCATTCTAATTCGGACCTCACGTGGCCATCGCCAGACAAGCAGCCAAAGCAAAATAGTGTCCGGGCTGAAGAGCTCTCGAGAGCCTGTCGAGAGGCTGCCGTCTCGGAGCGCCAACCTCGCCCCAATGGACCAATAGGAGCCGATTCCGGGCCCGAAGCATGAGCAAAGCACGAAAACACGAGAGATGACAGCTTGCAGATTGCAGCTTGCAGTTCGCACTCCAATTTCCATCTCGACCCCAACGCTTAGACCACCATCCAACATGCCTGTCACATACACGGACACTCGTGATAGAAGAAAACATTTGGCCATGCTATGCTATGTCTCTTCCAGTAGAAAAAAAAGACGGCTTTCATACAACGTGACTTGGACTGCAAACAGCGTGATTTGTGCCGTCTACCAACGGCCACCGCCACCGCCGCCACCAGGGCCACTGCCATAGCCTCCCGGGCCGCCAGGACCGCCGCCAAAGCCACCCGGACCGCCGGGGCCGCCGCCGGGGCCGCCGTAGCCACCGGGGCCACCGGGGCCACCACCAAAGCCGCCAGGACCGCCGCCAGGACCGCCAAAGCCGCCGCCAGGGCCCCCAAAACTGCCGCCAGGGCCGCCACCCTCAAAGCCGCGGGAGCCACCACCGCCACCACCACCAGGGCCGCCATATCCGCCCGGAGGACCGCCCTGGGGACCGCCCTGGTGACTGCCTTGGTATCCGCCCTGCTGGCCGCCGTAGCCGCCCTGCATCTGCTGCTCGTGCTGCTTGTGCTCTGAGTGCTTCCTATGGGGGGTCAGCATGATGTGGCAGTCATTGATTGGAGTTGTAGCTGGCAGCTCCTACTTTTCAAAAAAGTGCTCGACCACGTTGGCCACACCGGCGGCGGCGACCGCGCTGGCCGCAGTGCCCATCTTGCCGGCACCCGCGTGGTTGGCCGCCCAGCCACCGGCAACACCGCCCACGAGCGTGGCTCCAATGCCACGCTCGCCCGAGCCCTGGTTCTCGCCGCCGTACTGTTGGTCCTGATTGTACTATGACTGGTCAGTGGATTTGTAGGCAGCGTGATAGCAGCAACAACAACAACAACAACAACAACACACGGTAACGTACGTTCTGGCCCTGCTGGCCCTGGCCCTGGCCCTGGCCTTGGTAGTAGTTCTGTGCCGACATGGTTGTGGCGAAGGGAAAGGATGCACAGATGGGAGAATAGTAACTTAGACTAGGGAAGAGTGGAACGACAGAGATGGAGGGAGCTTGTACTTGTATTTAAGCTCGTCCAGTCCTTCTGTCTGGTCGGAATGGGTGGGAAAGATGGAACCACAGAGGCTGGAGAGGACGGGCTCACACGGCGACACGCGGCCTCTGGGGGGTTGTCAGCTGCAAATGGGACAGTCCCAAGGCGGCTTGGCGCTCTGTCAAGACTGGGGAGACCATGCACGAGTATGACTACGAGTACTCCGTACAAGCATGCCTATGCTCGTAGTATCTCATCTGCATCCGGCACCAGAGGAGTCATCTGCAATCTGCATTCTGTTCGCAGCCCGTCGCATTCTGCCTCTGTTGTCTTTTTCTCCAACTCTGTTCGTCTGCCTTTTGTCCTCTCTCCGCACTCCTGAAAGGCCGTGGCCTGTCTGTTGAGCTGATTGCCCCTCCGCCTTCCGCCTTCCGGCTGCTCGGATCCAAGTCAGCAATTGGCAAGAAGCGCCGCGCTAAGCCGTGGTCGCCCTTCCCCTCTGCTCCACTGCCCACGTCAGCAGTGGCTCGTAGCCCCGCCCTTTCAGCTGCGCACCTTAAGCCCCTCTGTACTCCGTAAAGCCTCAGCTATTGCCCCGCCAGACCGCCTTTGCCACGGCCGCAGCAACAGCACGGCCATGCCGTGGTGGCGACAGATGCCATCGCCGGTGTGCCTTTTGTATTTCTGCCTCGCGCGCTTCGTGCCTGTCAGGCTTTCTCCTCGTCGTTTTTATCTACTATGATAATAGTGGAGAAAAAAAAAAAAAAGCGAAAAGCGGGAAACGGGAAAGGAGTTAAAACCACCGGCAACTCGTATTGCCGGGTTGCCGTATTATTCATCTCCTCTGTACAGAGTTACACGGCACACAAATGTATGCTTATGTAAGGAAACTGCCCATTCGCCTACGTGCCCTCTCTGGAACCGCCACCACCGCCACCACCACCTCCGCTCCGGCCCTGCAGCGTCCGCCGCTTCTGCTCCTTGCGCGCCTCTCGGTTGACTGCGCCGATCATGCCGCGCTCGTTGCCACAGGGCCACCGCGCCGCCGCCGCCGCCTCGTCTTCGGCCGTCCACTCCCGCGGCAACACCGCGAACACGAGATACGACGTGTGTGTCTTGACCTCGGGCTCCACACGTGTCGTCAGCAGGCCCTCCATCCACGGCGGCGTCTGTTCTGATAGTGGAAGTGTTGTCTGTGCTGTGCTCTGCGATGCCTGCGCCGGTGTCGAGTCGGCCTTGCCCTCGCCCTCGACCACCATCGCCGATCCGTCCTCCTCGGCCGCCCGCTGCTGCCAGAACAGCGTGTTGTACTCGCGCGTGCGCGCCTCGATCGTCTTGAGCCGCGCCACCGCCTCTAGCACGTCGTGCGGCGCCGGTCCGCTGCCACCCCGCCCACCCACTGTCTCTGGCCGCTCCCGGTACACGATCAGCTTCTTATTGGCCACCTCCACCATGTCAATGTCCACCCAGCCGAGCCGCCGCAGCGTCGACACCGTTCGCGTCACCTGCTCGATGCACGGCGAGAACGTGCACAGGTGCACGCTCTTGCGCGGGTTCAGCGCCGACGTCTTCTGCCTGGTCAGGTGCGGCAGCGCGCGCCACGGTGCTGGAAGGTCCAGGAATACCGCGTCCGCTTCGGGGCTGCTGCCGTCGTCCATCAGAAAGCCACCCTCGTACACGTCGCGGTTCGTCAGCGTCACCAGCCCGTTCAGCCCGTGGCTCGCCAGCTCCTTCTTCATCTTTCCATACCGCTCGTTGTGAAACTCGAAGCTGAACACGGCCCCGTCGTTGCTGTTGTTGCCGTTGTTGCCGTTATATACGGCCCGTGCGGACGCGTGTGTGAAGCTGCCGCTGCCACTGCCCGCCTCGATGATGCGGCTACCCGGCCGTGCCCGCAGACGGTGCAGAATGTAGCTGTAGTCGCTTGTGTACACCACCTGCGTGCGGTGCGGCAGGCTGAGCGTCCAGATCTCCGGCGTCGGCGGCAAAATGTGGATGAAGCCGCTCGCTGCCGTCACCGTCGTCCCCTTGGGCTGCTGCTGCTGCTGCTTCGTTACTGCAACAGCTGCTGCTGCTACTCCTTTGGCGCCCGGCCGGCCCTCGTCCCGCTTGCGCTTGCGTCCGCGCGTGCCCGTATCCACGACAGACGCACGCACCTGCGTTCCCCACGGCACGTTTAGCAGGGTCGAGTGTGGAAAGGAGCCGAAGCGGGTGTTGAGCACGTCGCCCTCGACATAGCCGTCGACTTCGCCGGAGAACTCTCGTAAATACAGCGGCTGAAACTGGTCGCGAGACAGGAGCACAATGCCCAAAGTATCTGGCTTCGTTCGTAGGCCCGGGTCGAGGAACGGGGACAAGTGTGTCGCCATTTGTCTGGTTGTGATAAACTGCTTTCAGCATAGGACTCGCTGCTTCTGTATGCAAATTTTACGCCGAAACTATTAAGTGGGTCGGTCGGTCTACAAAGCCACAGCACCCGGCAACTGGACAGATGTGGCTCAGAGATACGGCCAGGTCTTACCCCTCTCCCCCACTTTGATTGAGTCGCAGATCAACAGGCTGGCTTTATCGGAACCGTCGAAGCTTGGCATGACGATGAGAGCTATCGTGTATGGCACGAGCGTTTTTACGAGCACAGAGTGCAGTGGCACTGCGTGCTCCAGTAGCTAATCTTGGGGGATTTTACTACGAAGCCAGGCTATTGAATTTACTTCTGTAAGTGCTCAAGCATGTTCATCACTAGCAATTCAAGTCAAGGTTCAAATGATTTCTTTTATTCTAATTGCCAACGCCCAAGGCTTGCTCAAGCCACAAAGCTCTGCTCGGCGGTAACGGTTGCCACAAACCCGTCCAGTGGATAGCTTAGTAGTTCGGCTGCTCGTGTTCGTTGCTGTAGACGCCGTTAGCCAGTGCTCACGCAGCCTCGCGCGTTGATCTGTACTCACGGGTTGAAGTTGTCGCGGCCGCTGTACTGCTGGTCGTACAGGTGGTTGGCGTTCTCGCGAGCGTGGTGCTTGGCCTTCTCGCGGTCGACAAAGTCCAGACCCTTGGTCTCGATCAGCTTGTCGACCTCAGCACCGGCAAGGGCAGCCAGGGCCTCCTTGGCGAAGGCGTGGTTGACAGTCTTGCCCTCGGCGCGCTGCTTCTTCTCGAACTCGTGCACGGCCGCGAAGGCGGCACCAGCGCCGAGCAGCTCGTGGGACACCTTGCTCTCGTGCGGCTGGCCGTTGTAAACCTCGTTGCGGGCCTCGCGAGCGTCGTCTGAGAAGGTATCAGCAGGAGTAGAAGGTGGGAGTGTGTGTGAGAAGCTTACCAAATCCGAATAAACCCATTTTGATGAAGGTGGAGTGGGGTTGTGAGTGTGTGAGTATAGATGTTGTTGGAAATGGAAGACAAGTAGGAAGATGGGAAAGGAAGGGAGGGAGAGGGGATGGACTTATATAGCCGGTAACAACAGGACAGATGTGCAAGCAGCTAATAGTAACAGGGGCCAGGAAACGACAAGCTCCTGGCATGCAAGTACGAGTAGAGAAGGTGCGAGAGAGAGCAACCTCTAGCGCTTGTAGGGGCCCACATGTCTTCTTTACCCTCGGTGCGGTGAGACTGATGTCCAGGGACAGAAGCATCTGTGAGTGCTCCGTACGGGTACATGCGTAGTATACTGCGCCGACTTGTTTCGACTCCCGGTTATGCCCCCGTCGCCCCTCCATTGGCAGTGGATGAGCAGCCGGATCGTCGCCACAGAGGTCTCTGCCTAGCGTCCGCACGTACGGAGTACGTAATTTAGGCCTCCGATGGTGCCCTAAGATACGTTCCTGTTATCAGCAGCAGGGCAGCTGATCGGGGCCGCCGCTAACAAGAATGGGAGCGAAGCTCTCCCCATGCTGTCTCGCTAGGACTTCGATGTTCGTGCCGTTGTGTTCGTCTTTCTGCCTGTTGCCTGTTGCCTTCTCCCCGTCCGCTTCCCGTTGGTGCCCTGGCTATTTCCCATGTGTTGACTGTCTGCTTGGTCAACTGCTCGTGACAGCAAAGCGAGACCCAGGCTCAGAAGCATCCTTTCTAGGCACGCTAAGACGACGCTACTGCCTGCTGCTGCGCTCTCCCAGCTTTACGACATATTGCTCTCTGTTGACACGTCTGTCGGGTAGCACGCCAGAAAAGCTACCCCTCGTATTTGTGGGACCTTTTCAGCTGATCAGGACTCCTCTCTTTCTATGACTTTCTCTCTCCCTCTCCTTTTTCCACCTGGCGTCACGCCGTCTCTTCGTGTTGGTTCTTCGATTGCCATAGCGGGAAGCCGGCGACTCCACGACATTGGCTCTCCTTTCTCCTTGCCTGTCTCTGATGCTGATTTTAGTTTGGCCGTGGCCCGTAGTTTTTGTTGCGAGTCTCATTTTCTTGCCACACAGCATGGCTTTGCTTGTCTGCCTTTGAAACATACTCTCCGAAGCGGGGCGAGGGGCTCGCTGCAGCTAAAGTTCCCCCTCCTCTCATGCATAATGCTAGAAAGAGGGGCACATCATTATTCCCTAGAAGGCGCAATTGGCTCTTGGCTGTCAAGCCATGAAACGGAGATCGCGTCCATCACCTGACCTTTGGGCCGCGGGAAAGAGGGGCTCTGCTGGCAGGCCCAAAGTCACGCCGCGTGGCAGTGCGCTAACTGCCAGAGATCATCATTAGGCACAGACACGAGACTACTAGCCCAATGGCCTCGTACGGCACGCAAGATAATACATGGTCTCCACGAAGCGTTGCGAGACGTATCGCAATCACAACTGCCATTGACGCTGTTGTTAAATTGTTTGTCTCGTGGATCTGGCATGCCAACCATGGCTATCGCTTGGCGCGGCCGCTATTGGCGGTGTGCTTTGCATCTGGACAGCTTGGCAATGCTTGTTGGTGCTTAACTTTCTTGGCCCTCTGCACGGACAAACTGGCAGTGGATAACGAGGCGAAAAATGCCGAAGACGACTCGGCGTCTGTGTACAACTACGGAGTACGCATATGTAAGATACGGGTGCTCTCTCCAAACAGATATCTGGGAGCATACTTTGAGAGCAAACTAAATCTAAATGACACAAGGTCCAGTGCTATGTTTCAACTCTACGCCGTTTGTCGCTATTATGCTCGTACCCAGAGGGCGACCGTTTCCTCCAATCGTGTACATGATCGTCGCCTTCTCGTCGCTTGTTCCTCTCCCTCCGCGTTGACCTTGATCGGGATCGCCGCCTGTCACGGTCAATGTGCTTCTTGCGCTCGCCCAGCGGCATGGCATTGGCACCCTTTGCGTCGTGCTCGTTGCCGCCGCCGCCACTGTTATCTTCGGCACCCATGTAGCCCAGGCGATCGCGGCCACGATCACGATCACGGTCCCGATCCCAGCCCCCGTTCCGCTGCTGGTTGCGATTGTCGTCCAGCACGCCCCAGCGGCCCGTGTCCTCCGACCGCAGATCGCGGTATTTGGACGCGCCCTTGCGTCCGAGTTTTGTCATGTCGCGCATCTGCAGCGACTTAGGCAGCATCTCGCGGTTCCGGATCTCATCCACGTAGTGTGCGCCCATGAGGTCGCGCTTGTCCAAGCCCTCAGCCTTGGTCTCCTCCTGGTAGAAGGCCCCCTTGTGGTAGTACTTTTGCATGAAGCCCGCCTGCCCACGACTGTCCTTCTCCTCCTTCTGCTTGGCGAGATGTACCTCGTCTTCTGCCTGCCGTTCCTCCTCCGTTAGGTTGCGCCGCCGCTCAATCTCTGCCAGCTCGCGCTCCCTCTCCTCGATCTGCTCGCGCTGTCGCTTGATCCGCTTCAGCTCCCGCAGCTTCCACGCCGCATACTCTGCCTCCGGGTTCACATCGTCGTCTGTGTTGACGTCACCAACCACCTCGTCACCGTCTCCCGCCGCCGCCGCCGCCGCCGCCGCCGCCAGTTCGTTCGAATCCTCCCACTGCTTCTTACTGACCACCCTGGACGCCGCCTGCTTCCGCAACTGCTCCTCCACAAGCGCGTCCACTTGCGCCTGCCTCTCTTTTGCCTCAATTTCTTCTGCATCTTCTTCCACTTCCTCGCCCTCCTCCTCCCCCTTTTTCTTTGTGCTGTCTGTGTCTCTGCACCCACTGTTCTGCGCTTTTGCGGTTCGCTCTCGTTGTGCTCGCGTCATGAATTTGGGCAGTGTGATCTTGCGCGTCGGCATGTCATCTTCCGATGAGCTCCCTTCATCGTCGTCATCGTCATCATCATCACTGTCGTTCTCTTCCTCTCTATCACTCTCTTCTTCGTCTTCGGACTCGGTAACAAATCCCTCTTCGGTCGCCTTGCGTTCGATGGCCTCGTGAGCTTTGCGCTTCTCATCTTCGTCGTATTTTGGTTCGCGCAAGGCCTGCGTCAGAGCCCCTGGCGCAATAACGCGCCCAGCACCAGTTCGTCTTGGCGCAGAAGGTGCCGCCGCCGTGGGTTGCTGTTTCTTTTTGGCTGACACCTCGTTGTCATTCTCTGATTCCGAGGATTCCGAGTCAGCTCCTGTTGGCTTGCCAGCTCTGTACCGAGCTGGCTGAATCGGATTTGCCGTCATTTTGGCCGTCATTTTGGGCGGCATTGTGCAAGTATGACTGTGGCTGATTTAGTCACACGACTGAGGGTGCAGGACCGCGAAAACCGACTTTAGAGGTCTTGAAAATGGGCATGTCGCTGCCAAGAACCAGAAATGGAAGTTTACTCGAGTTTGGAGCTTCTTATCAGCGTGGCTGGAATTATAGCGATAAGAGCGTGTTTGTGGCGTAAAATCTATACTACGACGTAAGGTACAATGACGGTTGGAAGACATGTCTTCGGCAGACTTTTCAGCACCTCTACTCCTTACGGAGTATTATATCATGGACCTGTCCGCGGGGCAGGCCCTTGTCTTTCGTAGCTGGTGTGAACTACTTAGAACATCAATTTGCACGGCCTTCTTCCCCTTTGATTAGCGCGCCGTATTTGTTCGTTTCCGCCAAATACTTCTACAACTCTGTGTATGCGATGGCCGATACTTCGTAGATTTCGTAGAATGCTAGAGTCCTCTGCTAAGGCGATTTTATCAGACGAATTCTTAAACGACATCAAACCCCACTAATTGAGCCCGTAGCCTGTCATCTCGCTGTCTGATTTCCCGCAAAAACTCCGAGCTCACCCTTGTGTTTTTTTTTGTGTATTTTCGCTGAAAGCCAGCCATTGAGTCTGCAGATCCCGGCTATACCTTGCACGCGGGCGATTGATTCTCTCTCGCAGCACATCCTCTCGCCATGGCAAGCCAGGCCATCATCCACGTGGGTACGCGGAGCTCAGCCCTGGCGCTGAAGCAAGCCGAGCTGGTCGTGGCAGCGCTGGAGAAGGCGAACCCGCACGTCAAATTTGTTGTGGACGCCCGCGAAACGGCCGGCGATCGTGACAAGGTGACGCCGCTGCCGAACCTGGGCAAGGGCCTATGGACGACCGAGTTTGAGACCCGACTCGTCGACGGAGACCTCGACTTGGTGGTGCATAGCGCCAAGGACATGCCGACAACCCTTCCTGTCGGCTGCCTGCTGGGCGCCATTCCCAAGCGCGAAGACCCACGCGACGCCGTCATCTTCCCGCCCGGCAGCGCGTACAAGGTCCTGGCTGATCTGCCGGTCGGCAGCATCGTCGGCACCAGCAGCGTGCGTCGGTCTGCACAACTGCGCCGGCGCTTCCCGGGTCTCGAGTTTCGCGATCTGCGCGGCAACATCGACACGCGCCTTCGCAAGCTGGATGCCCCCGTGCCCGGGCCCGACGGCACCACCGTCCGCTACGACTGCATCATACTAGCTGCTGCCGGTCTCATCCGCATGGGCTTCAACGACCGCATCTCGCAGCTCCTCGACTCGGCATCCTCTGGCACCCTGTATGCTGTCGGCCAGGGCGCTATGGCGGTCGAGATCCGCAACGGCGACGCCAAGACACTGGCCCTGTTGGAGCCCATTATCGACAAGCCGACGATGCTCGCCTGCCTGGCCGAGCGGGCAGTCATGCGCGCCCTGGAGGGCGGCTGCAGCGTGCCCATCGGCGTGGAGTCGGCCTGGGAAGCCGAGACGGCTGCGTCCCCGAGGCTCAAGCTCCAGGCCACGATCGTCAGCCTCGACGGCAAGATCGGCATCGACGCCGAGCTGACTGCCATGGTCACAACCCCGCAGGAGGCCGATGCCCTCGGCCTGAAGGTGGCCGAGGACATGATCGGCAGCGGCGCACAAAAGATCCTCGACGATATCAATAAGACCCGCGGGCCAGTGCCGGCACTAGTTGTCACAGCATAGAATGTGGTTCTATGAGAAGTCCCACAAGAATGCCGACTCTTTACAAACCTTCCAACTCTTCCAACTCTTGTCTTCTGTGTTTCTGTCGGCAGGCAGAATAGGGGTGCAGTATCAGTTAACATGGATATGAAGGGGCAGCACGATGCATCGCACATAATGCACGCCGCAGAACGCGAGTTATTTATCTTGTCCTGTAGCAGAGACGGCGATGAATTATTAATTGTGCTATTCTGTCATCTCATTCATGCTATCCATTGTTGAAATGCGCCGCACATGTCATATATCGCGATGACATCAACGCCCAAAGACAAAAACACTTGCAAGCACCGATCTAATAGACACCCCCAACTATTTTCTGATTACTAGGAAAGGTAGCCGGAGTGGCAAGCTCTAGTGATCCTCAACCGTCGCGGTGTACAGTTTGTACTCCTCGGCGCCCATCAGCGTCTCCAAGTCCTTAACGCCCTGGGCGTCAACCTGCACGCGGGCAATCCAGCCGCCACCGGCCGAATCGTCCTCGGGGACCTGGTTGATAGTGCCCGGCTTCTCCTCGAGGCTGTGGTTGATGTGCGTGATCTTGCAAGAGATCGGCGCGTTTATGTCGGCAGCCGACTTGACCGACTCGACCGCACCGATAGCATCGCCCTGACCGACCTCCTTGCCCTCTTCTGGTAGCTCAACGTAGACGACGTCGCCCAACGCCTCGGCCGCGTACTCGGAGATGCCGATCACGCCAGAGCTTTGGTCAGCGTTCAGGTCGATCCACTCGTGGTCTTTGGTGTACTTCCGCAGGGCCACTGCACGCGCAAGAGCAAGACAGTCAGTACCGGTCCCCAAATACACCATCCTCTCTGAAATTCCTTTCCCACCTTGTGCCGTGACAGAGAAGCTCCGACCGGTCACCTGGCCAGCAGGCCGGAAAGCTGTCATCGGCCGTGCTACACGGGCCGCCAGAATCGGAGACCGGGCGGCGAGCCTCCAGCAGCGAGCAATCGAAGCCATGACGAAAGAGATTGTGGACTAGGTGGCGCGAGAAAGAGTATGACAGGTGCAGTGTTGTGGATGGAGAGGGCAACGGCTAGAGTCAGATGCAAAAAAACCCGTGCAGTCCTTTTTTGCGGGAGAGGGGTGTAGTTGGTGCTCAATGGGCTCGGGAGAATCCTATTGGACGCGGAGAGAAAACGGACGATTTCGGGCATCGGCCCACAGACTTTAGAAGATAACGATACGGGGTACGGTCGACGATACGAGGGGGGATTAGTCATAATCTCGCGCCGGCGGACTGGGAAAATTCAATAATAAAGACAGCAGGTTGGTTATGCAAACTCATTTTGTCCCTCTAGTTGCCAACCTATGTGGAGAACACGGCACTTGCCGTAACAAAGAGAAGGCATCGCCAGCCCATAACTCGTTGGCGAAACCCAGACACCGCCTGAGCAAGTAAACTATGACTTCGGGGTATCAATATATGGATCAAAACCCATCCTCTGCTTTGCTTCTTTCTTGGCCTTCCACTGCTCCTCTCCACACAGTCCTGTCGTTGAGGATTCTTCGAGGAAAAATGTCAGGATGTGGTCCGGAAGAGAGAGATGGGACACTTGTTGAAACTCTTGAAGACTGGTGAGCCGTATCAGCATTTCAAGCAACGAAAGAGAGGATGCGGCCGTTCCAAGGAGCGAGCAAGACGCAGGTGGCCCCTCTCCAGGATTTCCAGCATAACAAGTGTCCTGCATGTTTATGTTTACATTTTTCAAGTCTGCATGGCCCTCTTCATACTGGTCTTGTGATTTTGCCGGTTCCGTTCCAGACATGGACAGGTGCCGGATCTGCTCTAAAGTATCGGAAGTCAAATCGTTCTCTTCGTTATGATCCTCGTCCTCGTCCCCAACCCCATTCTCTGCGTCTTCGTCGCTTCCCACATCGTCATCCTCGATAAAGACTTCCAATGCTAGCCATTCGGGGTCTAAATGGCGGGGGAAGTGCCTTTCTCCATGCTTGTCAGTGGTAGCAGGCTCGACTACAGCGGGGAAATATCCTGCTTCTCTTCTGAGTTGCCGATCGATGTCTCCTTGGCTAGTTAGTAGCGGATGCCTTTCTACAACTTCATAGCGGCACGGTCCTGTTTCCGTGTCCACATCTTGCTGTGGTTTTATATGATCCAACGCTGAAGTCGGCACCGTGGCACAAGAATCCCGCTTCAGTAGCAGAACAGCATTGCTCTCGAAGGAGGTCGTCTCCCCAATATTCAATATCCGTCCAGTGTCGGTATAAAATATTTTCGATATTTGATGGATTGGTATCGATTCGCGGATTCCTGCTCGACGCATTTCTTGGTCCTCCGCTTCATGGACTCGCCCATCGTCTAGGTCTTCGGTAATTTCCAGGTGGTAGGAATATCCATCCATCCCAGAAAATGGACCAACCTTGGTATTGGAACAGAAATCCGTGCCCGATCCGGTCATAGACGGAGTTTTGGGAAGATCTCCTACCTTCTGATCGAACACCCAGTCAGGGCTCATCCAAATAAGCCGGACACGAGCCTTGTGCACCACCTCTTGCCATATTGCCTTTTTCACGTCCTCCACACCTCCCCCGTATTGGCTCTTATCTGACAGGCTGTTCACTTGCTTGCCTGAGTCCTGTATAGATGGACAATGGCTGATGAACAACATGTACAAGGACAAGGTGAAGGATGGTCCAATTTGCGTGGGATTTCGGGAAGTGCTGTTAAACTGCGTATCACCAACTGTGAGAAACATGCTTGCCTGGAGCAATCTGGACGGTGAGATGGTTGCTGGAAGGGATGTCGAAAGGCTTTCGCCAGACGCTGTGATGGCAAGCTGGATAAATGGAATGTCGCCGTCAATGCGCGCTAGCAGCAACTTGATATCGTTGATGATACCCAGGAGTTCAACACGATGGCATTCCGCAGACACTTCTCGGCTGCCAGTTGCAAGGTACAGCTCCTCGGTAGCGGCGGCTCTCTCCAGACGCTTTCCCAAGCTCACAATGTCTCGGTGCAAACCCTTCGTGAGGCTCGCAGCGTTTCCTAGAAGAACGTTGCCGCGACCAGATCTTTGCAGGGTGGGTCAGTAGAAGTGAGCTAAAGCATGGGTACTGACGATATATATAAATACCTAAATTCGATTAGATCCAAAGCTGGTGATACAATCTGCAAGTGTCAATACTCACGAAGACCTGCAAGAACGCTTTCAGCATACTGAGGTTAACTGAACGTACCTTGATCTTGTTGTCAAGAGCCTTCTGCAGGATTCGGAGCTCAGCGTATTGTGCTTTGTTGTCGACAGTTTTTAAAAACCTGGAACACTGTTGCATAGCGAATGAGGATGTCAGAGCGATACCACAACGCATTGCATAGTTTACGGCTTGTACGCCCAGACGTGCAAGAAATTCGTCCATGGCTGTGTAGGCGAGCCTTGCAGGACTGAGAGGGACGGCTGCGAGCTTCAAACCCCGATTTAAGTAAACTTCAGATCTGTGACCAGGCTTCCACAGCCCTACAGGCCATTGTCCACTATAGGCAACGCGCCCAGCGCGTTATAGGCTTCGGCCCCCCGCTACGAGCCCCACAATGGTCACATGACTACCCACCACCTGCTAAAGGCTTTTTGTTGTATCGACGATGGCGGGGCAAACCCCAAAAAATTGCGGTCGAAGAGAGTCACTTTGGTCCCTAGCAAACTCATTTGAAGAAGCCGGTGTGCTACCATCGAGAAGAACTCTGATCGCCGGTCTATCCGACTACTTGAGATACTCGTGCTAACATTCTCTTTTTTATTTTCGCTGTTAGCTTGGGGGTTTAACGCCGCCTCTCTTCCTCTCTTCAACCAAAATGTCCCACCTCAACTCTTGGGAGGACGACCCAGCAGCCCAGGATGAAAACCTGGCGCGGCAGGCCCAGCAGCAACTGAACGTCGGCGGCGGTGGTGGTCGTGGCAACTTCCATGTCGGCGCTGCTACGTTCCAGCCAGGTGCGGCTACCTTCAACCCTGGCCAAGCTTACGGAGGGGCACCCAGCTTCGTTCCTCAGTATCAACAGCCACAGCAGCAGCAGCAATACTACAACCAAGGATATGGATTTCAACAGTATGGCCAACAACAAACTGGCTTTGACCAGCACAACCAGGGATATGGTGGTTCTGGGTATAACAGCCAGCAGGCTAGCTACCAACAGGGTGGCTACAACCAAAGCTATGGTATGCCGCCAGGGAATGTCTTCCCATGCCCTGAATTACGGCATATTCTGACTATTGAGAAATAAAGGTCAATACAGTGGCGGCTATCAGCAGCAGTCTTCTCGTGGTGGCGCCGTCGGCCAATACGCTACCAGAGACACCCCGACGATTGCAAAGCGGACCGATTCAGCAGCAGGTACAGCCGCGTCAGCGACAGCATCGACAATTTCTCCGAAGCCAGCTGGAAACATCGGAGCCAAGGTCTTGAGCATTGGCGGCGACGCAGCAAAGCCGAAGGTGGCAAAGGTGCTTTCTATTGGTACCCCAGCACCTGCAAAAGAAGAGTCGAAGAAGGAGGAGGCAGCCCCGAAGGTGGACAGCACTAGTGCTGAGGCTGGTGCGAAGATCACGGCGGCCAAGGCCATCGAGAAGACAACCGGCGACAAAGCAGGGGGTAGCGGAAAGACGTCTCCGTCTCCGTCTCCATCATCAGGTCGTTCCAGCCCTGCGCGGGCCGGCACGGAAAAGATCACACGGGATGTTGATGCCGTGCAGAAAGAGCAGGCTGCAGATGTGGACGATGATACTTTAAAGGAAATTTATGGAAAGGAGCACGTGAACATCATCTTTATCGGTCACGTCGACGCTGGCAAGTCTACATTGGGTGGGTCGATTCTCTACGTCACAGGCATGGTGGACCAGCGGACTATGGACAAATACAAGAGGGAGGCCAAAGAAATGGGCCGGGAGACCTGGTATTTGTCCTGGGCGCTAGATCTTACAAACGAAGAGCGGACCAAGGGCAAAACTGTCGAGGTCGGTCGTGGCCATTTTGAGACAGATAAGCGTCGCTACAGCATTCTCGATGCGCCTGGCCACAAAACTTATGTGCCAAGCATGATTGGCGGTATGTTGCAAACCCAGTCGCCACTGCGTCTCATCTAACTGCGTTGTTTTTTGCTAATGCTCGTACTTCAGGCGCCTCCCAGGCTGACGTCGGTATTCTGGTTATCTCTGCCCGGAAGGGAGAGTACGAGACCGGCTTTGAGAAGGGTGGACAGACGAGAGAGCATGCTATGCTTGCCAAGACGCAGGGTGTCAACAAGCTGATCGTTGTGATCAACAAGATGGATGACCCGACAGTCAACTGGTCGCAGGATCGGTACAAGGAGTGCACAACGAAGCTGTCACAGTTCCTCAAGGGCACGGGCTACAACCTGAAGACGGACGTGTTCTTCATGCCGATTGCAGCACAGCAGACGACAAACATCAAGGATCGGATACCTAAGGGTGTGGCAGACTGGTACAACGGGCCGTCTCTGCTGGAGTATCTCGACAACATGCAGACCCTGGAGCGCAAGCTGAACGCACCGTTTATGATGGCCATCAACAGCAAGTACCGGGATCTCGGTACCATGGTGGAGGGCAAGATCGAAGCAGGTGTAGTAAAGAAGGGCATGGGTCTTATCATGATGCCGAACAAACAGAACATCGACGTGACAGCCGTCTATGGCGAGACAGAGGACGAGATGAGCATTGCGCAGTGCGGCGACCAGGTGCGGCTGCGGTTGCGGGGCGTCGAGGAGGAGGACGTTCAGCCCGGCTTTGTGCTGTGCTCGCCGAAGCGGCTGGTGCACAACGTGAAAGCTTTCGAGGCGCAGGTGCGCATTTTGGAGCTGAAGAGCATTTTGACGGCCGGATATAACTGCGTGCTACACGTGCACTCGGCTATCGAGGAGGTGACCTTCTCGGCCTTGTTGCACAAGCTGCAGAAAGGCACCGGTCGCAAGAGCAAGGTGCCGCCATCGCACGCAAAGAAGGGCGAAAGTATCATTGCACGGCTAGAGGTGATCGGGGGTGCTGGCTCGGTCTGTGTCGAGCGGTTTGAAGACTACCCACAGATGGGACGTTTCACGCTTCGTGACCAGGTACGTATGAACTTGCGTTGGAGAACGGAACAGAGTCAAGTAACTAATTCTTGGTATCATGAAAGGGTCAAACAATTGCCATTGGCAAAATCATCAAGCTCATCACGGACAGCTCCTAAATGAGAGGACCGTCAGGTCGATCCTGATCGCAGTTTGTTTCTGGCAAGGAGGCGACACAAAAAGTAGGGCTGTGTAAAAGTGCTGCATGGCAAATATTGCCGGTGGTTTTGTCCAAGTAAAGACGAAAGGTCTCTAAATACTTATTTTAGTTGAAATGTTCCATCTTTCTGTGTTCATTGGGCTATTTTAAACAATAGACAAAAGCAGTCAAGAGGCATCAGCTCTTTCTGGTTATGCTAATCTGAATTCTCGTATCTAACTTACAGCGTAAAGCACGGGCAGCACACCAATATGTCGATCTTTTGGAACTACCCGTAACTCACTCAGCGCCCATTGTTTTAACAGATTATGATGCCCCCAAAACAAGTCCGAGAATGTTTTTATATCTCGTGCGATCATACGCTAACAAAATTAGCAGGTAGTTGTGCTCACGGATATGCCGCTCTGGATGAAGGCGATGCAATGCGACTGTATCACTGTTTAAAAATGCCTATCTTAGGAGTTGCCTCTGACTGGGACCGGCATGTCGTTCACTCGTACTCGCAGTACCCTAGCTTCGCCCAGTTTCGCAATGGCCCTGCACTTGCAACTTCACCACAGCGACGCAGCCACGTGTGGCAAGTAGTCACGTCACGTCGCGTCGCGTCGCGTGTCCCGCGCCCTTTATCTCTTTGACTCCTTTTGTCTCGGATTTGCGTGGCTGCAACTGCAGGTTCTTTCTGCTGGCTAGTTCAGCGACGCCGCTCCACTCTGGTGCTTTTCAGCTGGCCTCTGCAGAACAGCCCATCTGACGACAGCCATGACTTCGTGTCCTGCGGCTCTGGCGAGTGCTGTATGCCCCCCATAGTAGCAGTACCCGATCGCCGCTTGGGTGCGTGATCTGCCGTAAGCGCCACGGTAAACAAGTCGGAGAACTCACTGAGGGTACTCCGTAAAAAGAAGAGATTTAATATTTCTGGAAAAAAGAGAGAAAAAAGAAAAGCAAAGAATAAGGACAAAACAGGTGCCGAGACCCCTCCCCTGGCCGATCCCGTCTGGTCCAACCAGCGGACGAGAAGGCAGAAGCACAACATCGTTCTACGTCGTAGCATCACCAGTGGCTGCATTAGGCCTGTTTTCTCCCCTCCTTTCCTGGAATCAAAGAGCCCACGTCGATGCGTAAATTCGTCGACGGTTCCTTCCCTGCGTTTGTCTGTATTTTTTTTGCATCCTGCATCCTGCATTCCTACTACTCGTTTATTCGAATTTTTGTTTTTTTCCTCTCACTGTCCTCTCTGACTGTCCCTCTGCTCGACGAGTACGAGTACTCATCTCATTTCGTGCCCATCTTCCATGCTGTAACAGTGTCCACTGTTCCTCCATCCCTCTCCCCTCCATTTCTCTATTCGGTCCCTCCCCCCCACTCTTTTCCCTTTCTCTCGCTCCACGCTTCACGCTCCACGTTCCATGCTCCATCAAGCCTCGTCTGTGGCCTGCTTTTCACGCCCTTTTTTGGCCTACACCCGACAGCTTTCCTCTTCGTCGGCCCCGTCCCACAACTTGGCAGCTTTGCTCGTCATTCTCGACAGTCCATCGACGTGGCCGAATACCAAAGCAATACCACCAGCAAGAGGGCCTCTGCCTCTATGGTGCTAGACGTGCGACCTGGCAGCATTCCAGTCCGGTATCTTCGACACCGACACCCCTCTCCTCCAAACGCAGACCGGCTGCCTTCGTTTCGTCTCTTCCACTCGTGGCCCCGCTCTTCTGCCACTGTCTTTCTCGCTCGTCTCCTCTTTCGTCGTCTCTGATAATCGACCGCTCTGAGCAGTCCGCCATCCTGGATTCCTCGACTCTTTCGGTGGGGTCCACGGCCCAGTATCACGACACCCTCAACACCATGGATGCCGACCCGCTGAACCCGCCCATGCCTGCACTGTCACAGTCCCCGACCTTACTCCCACAAGATGCACCCGACGGCACGCTTGGCGTTATCGAAGACAACCCTCATACAGGTGACAGTGGCGCCGCCAGCCGCCATTACGCACAATCACATTCCCAGTCCCAGTCCATGGATCAGAGTTTGAGCGACTCGCCACGATACGGCTACGGAACTGCCGACGACTCGGAATCGAACGGTCGGTTTGGCACGCCGCCCTTGTCTGCACAATCGATGTACACTCAGCAGCAGCCACAACAGCTCCAACAGCCCCAGCAATTACAGCAACAGCCGATGTTGCCTCAGCTACCACTTCAACAGCAGTACACCCAGCCACAGCAATACTACCAGCAGACGCAGCAGCAACAAGTACAGCCCCAACAGCCCATATCAAGGCCGCCTTCGGGGTTGTCAGGACATGGTAGTGCCAGTGCTGGTGGTGCTTACCCGGATCATGCGTCTCGGGGCAGCGGTGCACATGCCGAGCCGAACAACGGACGAAATCACGTTGTGATCAAGGTGGGAATGGTGGGCGACGCACAGATCGGCAAGACATCACTCATGGTCAAGTACGTTGAGGGCAGCTGGGACGAGGACTACATCCAGACCCTGGGCGTCAATTTCATGGGAAAAAGACGATCAGCATCCGCAACACAGAAATCACCTTCAGCATCTGGGATCTGGGTGGCCAGCGCGAGTTTGTCAACATGCTGCCGCTTGTGTGCAACGACGCCGTGGCCATTCTGTTCATGTTTGACCTAACGCGCAAGAGCACACTTAACAGCATCAAGGAATGGTACCGCCAGGGCCGCGGCTTCAACAAAACGGCAATTCCAATTCTGGTCGGCACGAAGTACGACCATTTTGTCAACTTCCCTCGCGAGGACCAAGAGGAGATCTCCAACCAGGTAGGGCCTCCTCCAGCAAGCTGTGGATAACAGGTTTTCTAACCGTCCCAGGCTCGTCGGTTTGCAAAGGCCATGCGTGCAGCACTCATTTTCAGCAGCACCAGCCACAGCAACAACGTTCAAAAGGTAGGTGGTGGCGGCTGTCAGCTTCACGCCCGCCGCTGCATCAATGCCTGAGCTGACCAAGCTGTCCTAGATATTCAAAATCGTGCTCTCAAAGGCCTTTGATCTCAAGTGCACAATACCCGAGATCGAGAATGTAGGAGAGCCATTGTTGCTGTATCAATCATGCTAGCCCGGGAAATGTACGATATGACAGGCAAAGACGCCCGTGCCTGCTGCCTCCCTTCTGTTCCACCCCTTCTTGCACATTCTGCGCCGATGCGCCTATTTTTTAGTCTGATATAATCCTGCTTCATACCGTCATTCTTTTCTTTTTTCTCTTTTGTTCTGATATTGGTGGGGACAGTCAACGTCTGTGGCCAAGTGATAGGAGAAGGGTAGGAGCAGAGGACGAGATCGAGTCGGGGCCAAGCACTGTTCGTGTATTAGACAAGACGATAAAGCCGGGAATGTGTTGCAAGATGCTCAAGGGCAGCGACCAGCTGCAGACGTGAGCAACCGGAGTGCTACCCTCTGGGGCTTATGTCTTCTGGTATAAGCTTTCCAAACCCGTCGTCCATTGTCATTCATTATATTGCGGTTTGCCGACTTTCTGGCTGGGACGGAGCGCGTGGCATACTGGAATGGCTGTCTCCGAAAGGAGAAGCGCACGATCCTTACTTACTATCTATACACCCCGATTTCTAACATGTTGTATTTTTGTCGTAAAAACCCTCCCTGGAGATCTCCTATTGTCATCAACCATTGTTTATATAGAGGGGAAGGATCGATAGACGGAGCTCCTGAATCGGCAAGTGCCAGAGACAGGAGATCGGTCTCGGGTCACCATGAGTCGGTCAGCATATTCTATTGACCTTATATTCCAACCCAGCAGCTGCTCCTCTTGCAGTCTCTCCTCTCTTGCTTGATGCTCTAACAGGCCTACCATTCGACAGATCCTGCCTCAGAGTTTCACCATTGTTGGGAAACCTCGTCCTCACATCATGCTTATTAGCCTCTGCTTTTATCTCACATCTTTCTCTTCCTACCCAGCATCAACGAAACCCACACCTAATAATCATAAACAGAATACACAATCGATCTCTCGGTTGGCCTTTGCAACGTTGACCGAAGAGGAGGCTTGCAACGGGCGGAGGCAAACATGGGCCAGGCGTGCTGCGCCCTGGAAAGACGAGCCAAGCGGGATGTGTTAAATGAAATAATAGCCGACATGGAAGCGCTCCCAGAACTACGACCCGTCACCCCTGAACCAATATCTCCAACTGCACTAGGTGTTTCAAGACTGTCACCTTCGCAGTTTGCCCGCGTGCGGCACCGGGGACGCCAGCAGCCACGACGTCGAAACAAGCTCATGAAACAGAGAAAACAGAAGATGCCAATGTCTGAGCCGGCCACGCTCGCAACACATCCATCGCGTATGCTGCTCGCATCTTCCGAGACAGCAGCGGCCCGTCCGGAATGGAATTCATGGGCTGATGCCATCGGCATCGAGTCCGGCCTGTGGCGACGACGTAGACATGCTTTTAGCTACGATGGCTCCGATGACCGCCCGGAGACGGAACTAATCGCCCCTACACCATGGCGGCCGATCTGTCTGTATCTCCCAGCGGTCGTGGGGACTGACGGAGTGGGATACTTAGAGGCACAGGCTTCGTCGTGTCCAGCTAGCACCGCCACGCACGTTGACGAAGCATCAGCCTCGCAAGGCTCGAGCGTATACTACTCGGTTTTTTCGTCGCCCCGATCGCCCGAGGAGAGAACGCCGACGGGCACACCACCAACTAAGATCCGTGACCGCGGCTTTCTCGATGCCGTCTTGGCAGCTGCTAATATACCCTTGGCATCTGGGCCGTTGTCACATATACCTTCCAGGCTGTCACAGGAGAGCAACGATACGGTTGTGCGAGTCAGGCCGCTGCGTGTGGAGGACTATGCTTCGGACGCGACACCAGGAAAAGACAACCAGGACAATGAAGAAGGGGTGACGTAGGCAGAAACGGTAAAGCTTGCTTGCCCCGGTTTCGGATTGTGTCTGTGGTTACATATGTTCTAGTTTAATCGAGCCTATACTCGTTGCTGATCGCAGTGCCCGTCTGTGAAGCTCGATGTGATAGATAGCTCAGAACACCTAAACAACCAGTATTCTATGCAAAGAATGTATTGAACATATCTGTTCGTCGATTTTCTACGCCAGGGCCCTCGTCACGTCCAGATTCGAGGCAACTGGACCCGCAGTAAGGCAACAGCAGCCCCGCCAAAAGTCTGCCAACCGAAACCCCGCCATGAAGCTTTCTGAACAACTCTTACTTACTAATAGTACCTACTTTACAGCGTTGCTTCCTTCCCTTGCACGTAGCGTTTACCTCGGGTCTCTACTGGCTTGACCTTTTCCTATTACCTTTGTCTCAACACAACTGGACGTCTGGAAGACATTGCCGAATCGCTCTCCCGGACTGTGATGACAACAGGAGAGGCTTAATTTTCTGCACAGCTTAAAAGGTTGGTCAGCCCTGTCGAGCCACGATTCCGGCAAGTAAAAGTAAGATACATACGAACAAACAGCTGACGATTCATCGCAGCCGTTAAAATTGGGGTTTGTTGTCTTCCTCAATAACACGACCTCCTCTTTCGTGCGTGACGAGAAATTTGTCCGCAATGGCTACAATCAACCCTGCCAGCGCCACGTCGGCCACCATCAGCCAGCTGTTAGTAAAGCTGAGCGACTCGGACCCCGACTATCGCTTCATGGCGCTGAACGATCTGCTATCAGTCCTGGTTAGCGGCCGGCCAGAGATTCTGCAAAACGACTACAACACGGCCGCACGGACAGCGGACCATCTGGTCCGGGCCCTGGACGACCAGAACGGCGAGGTACAGAACCTGGCGATTAAATGGTATGGCAACGATAGTGTGCAAAGTCTATACAGCATAATATTGACGGACGCTGACTGCCATGTTTCTCCAGCCTCGGAGGTCTTGTGCACAGACTGCCATCGCCAAATATCGGGCCGCTCATCGAAAAGCTGTCGACGCTGAAGCTGAGAAACTCGGTGGACACGGCGGTGCAATCGCTGGCACTCATTACGGTGATCGCAGCACTACCTAGCCCGACACCGGGCGACCCGCCGTCCAAGGACACGGTGGAGGCATACAGCAGCATCAGCCGGATGCTCATCCCACGGCTCATCGGCCGTCCGGTATCGTCGGTGAAGCCGACAAACGCCAAGAACCTGCGCCACGCGTCTCGTATCGAGGACATGCTGGAGGTCAATAGCAGCATCGACATGACGGCTGAGGCGGTGGACGTGCTGATCGAGGTGGTGCGGTCTTTTGGGATCCTGCTGCAGCCCGTGGAGGTGGAGGCGCTGCTGGACGTGGTGGTGGCGGTGCTGCACGACAGCCGGGCGAGCTCGGTGACGAAGAAGCGGGCGGTGGTGGCGGTGGTGATCCTGGCGGTGTACCTCCCGGACGAGGCGCTGTCGGGCTTTATCACGCAGACAGCAGACGTGCTGAACAGCGAGACGGTGTCGCCGGCGACCCAACGGCTGTACATTTCGATTTTGGGCTCGATGGCGAGATCGATGGCGGTGCGGTTCCGCAGCTACATCAGCATTGTTGTGCCGTACACGTTGCAAGCGCTGGACCAGGAGCAGCTGGACGCGCAGCTGGAGAAGATCGGAGAGGGCGACGACTCGGGCGACTTTAACGACGTGCGAGAGTCGGCGCTAGTGGCGCTTGAGGCGTTTCTGGCGTCGTGCCCGAAGCAGATGCGTGCGTTCACGACGGAGACAATGGGAGCGTGTCTGCGCTATCTCAAGTATGACCCAAATTACGTGGGTAACTCGGACGACTCGGACGACAACATGGACGAGGGCGACTCGGAGAACGGCTCGGACGACGAGTTTGGCGACGACGATGAGTTTGAAGCAGACGCCGGGTTCGACGACGACGACGACGCCAGCTGGAAGGTGCGGCGGTGTGCGGCGAAGGCGCTACACACGCTGATCTCGACACGGAGCAGCGGCGACCTACTGGAGAACGGATTGTTGTACCGGGTGGCGGCGCCGGCGCTGATCCGGCGGATCCAGGAGCGGGAGGAGAACGTGCGGCTAGAGGTGATTGCGGCGTTGTCGGTACTGGTGCGCAAGACGGGCGAGGGGATGATCCCCGAGTTTTCTCTGGACGGCAGCGACGGACAGGATGAGATGGCGCAGCTGCCGCAGAGCCGCAAGCGGCGGAGACAAAGCAGCTCGGTGGGCGGCAGGGCGTTGGGAGGGAGCGGCAGGGGCGAGGGCGAGGTGTCGTCGCCGACGCTGGAGCGGGCAACGATTCCGGCGACTGGGCCGCGTGCCGACCTAGCGGAGAAGACGCCATCGATTGTGGCTGCGTGCACGAAGCTGCTCAAGGGCAAGCAGATACCGACGAAGCAGGCTGTGATCAACCTGCTAAACGACATTGTGACGGTACAGCGTGGAGGGCTGTCGGAGTACCTGGAGCAGATCCTGGAGCCGGTGATCGAGGCGGTCAAGCCGGCGACGGCAGCGGGTACGTCGGGTTCGCTATCGGTGGGCGGCGGCGGTGGTGGTGGTGGTGGTGGTGGCGGCGGTGGCAACGCGTCGGCGACTCCGGCGACGCTGCGGGTGGCGTCGCTGCGGTTGATGGGCCACATTGTGAGCATGCACGTGTCGGTGACGCTGCAGCCGTACCTAAGCCGGATTGTGGACGGGCTGCTGGCAGTAGTGCACGACCGGTTTTACAAGATCTCGGCAGAGGCGGTGGGAGCAAGCGAAGAGGTGGTGCGGGCGATCACGCCGCCTCGGGCGCGAGCATCGGTGGCGTCCAAGTTCAAGCCGGAGCTACAGAAACTATACGGTGTGTTGATGGACCGGACGACCGGGTCGGACGTGGATGCGGAGGTGCGGCAGAAGGCGATCCACGCACTGGGCACACTCCTGTCCCACACGGGGTCGGCTGAGGGAGCCGGGCTGGTGTCGATTGAGAAGCGGGCGGCAGCTCTAGAGGCGCTGCTGGAGCGGCTGCGCAACGAGACGTCACGGCTGGCAGCGGTGCGGGCAATCGACACGGTGGCAGCATCCGACCCAGGCTCGGGCTTAGGATCACGCTTCGAGGCCGGCTGGGTGCGGCAGGTAGCGTTGGAACTGGCAGCACAGCTGCGCAAAGCCAACCGGTCGCTGCGCGGGTCGAGCATCCAGGCACTGCGCCACCTGGTGCAGAGCCCAGATGCACAGGGGCAGTTGGACGTGGCGACAGTGGAAGCGTTGGTAGCAGCGCTGCAGCCGGTAATCACAGACAGCGACCCACACCTGCTGAGCCCGGCGCTGCGGATCTTGGCAGTGCTGGCACAGGAGCAGGCGCAGCTAGCGGTGACCAAGGAGATGATCGGATCGCTGTGTCGGCTGCTGCAGAGCAGCGTGGCGGCGACGGTGTTGGAGCCACTGCTGCAGCTGGTGACGGTGGTTGGACGTAGCGGACAGGGACAGCCGCTGATGGCCGGACTGCTGCAGGACGTGGGGATCGCGGGCGACCCGGCAGTGGTGGGCAAGGTGGTGGGTAACCTGCTGGTGGCAAGCGGCAGTTCTGCTGGCGTGACGATCGACAGCTTCATCAAGGAGACGCAGACGTCCAGAGCAGACCCGTTGCGGGCGAGCCTGGCGCTGGCCGTGCTGGGCGAGGCAGGCCTGCGACTGGGCCGGCTGGGAGCGACATCGCCGATCGAACCGACGCTGTTCCTGGAGCAGTTTGCGAGCGAGTCAGACCAGGTGTCAGTGTCAGCAGCAGTGGCTATGGGCCGAGCGGCAGCCGGCAACGTGGGGCTCTACGTGCCGGTGATACTGCGGGAGATGGCGAGCGGCAGTAGCACGCAGTACCTGGCGTTGCAGTCGGTCAAGGAGACGCTGCAGCAGGTGGCTGTGGACCGGACGGACATCAACGCATACACGGCAGCGATCTGGGCACAGCTGCTGCAGGCGGCCGGGACGGAGAACAACAAGGCGGTGTGCGCCGAGTGTTTGGGCCGGCTGGCGATTATCGCGCCAGCGACGTTTGTGCCGCGTTTGCACGAGCTGCTGCAGGACCAGGGCCAGCAGGCGTCGCGGGCCATCGCGGTGCAGGCGCTGCGCTACACGCTGCCCGAGTCGGGTGAGGCCTTTGACGCAGTGCTGGGCGAACACCTGGGGGCGATGCTGAAGACGGCCCTCAGCGACGGCGACATGGAGATCCGGCGGCTGGCGATGACAGCGCTCAACTCGGCGGCCCACAACAAGCCGGAGCTAATCCTGGGACAGCTGGGCGAGCTGCTGCCGTATATCATGGACGAGTCGCGGGCGAAGCCGGAGCTGGTGCGCGAAGTGCAGATGGGCCCGTTCAAGCACCTGGTGGACGATGGGCTGGAGGTGCGCAAGGGTGCGTACGAAACGCTGTATGCGCTGATCGAGACGGCGTTTTCGCGCATCAGCCTGATCAGTCTGTTTGAACGCGTGATCGACGGCCTGGCCGACGACCACGACATCCGTGCCATGTGCAACCTGATGCTCTCACGGCTGGCCTATGTGGCCCCGGCCGAGACGGCGCGCCAGCTGCCCAGCATTGCCGACAAGTATCGCGTCATCCTCTCGACCAAGCTCAAGGACAACGCCGTCAAGCAGGAGCACGAGAAGCAAGAGGACGCTAACAAGAGCGTGTTGCGTGCCACGCTGTTGCTGGCCGACCGCCTGCGGGCCCTTACTGGCGAGGGCTCCAGTGGATCGACCAATCCCGGTGGTACCTCTGTTTCGGGCACTTCTGGCCTCGGCCCCAACAACAAGTGGTCCCAGTACTGGGACTGGGTCAACAAGACGTTTGACGCCCAGCTGCGCGTGCTCCGCGACGAGAACCGCGAGCTCGGCACGTCGCTGACCGCCTTTTAGGAACGGCTATCCGCCATCTCCGTCTCGCAGGAACCGCCTCCCCGCCAGCTGACGAAGGTGAGGCGCAAGAGCCGCTACGAGGTCATCAATGAGGACGACGGCAGGGTTCGTTTTTATAGCAAGTGACCGACGCCGTCCAGTATACGCTACGCGGCAGGAAAACATCGTATAGCGCTCAAGAAAATAACCTTTTTATATGCCAAACGCCCCTGAGCATGTAACCTGCAGGTCCCAAGTCCCAAGGTGCCAAGAACCTCCAACGTATAAAAAATATCCATCTGTCTGGCGAGATGGCCACAAGAACAGAAACGGGTATCTGGCGCGTCCACGCAGAGTAAAATCATAAAGCATGAGCAGAAACGTGAGGGGGGAAGGAAAGCGGAGAAAGATGAGTAAGAGAATGAAACAGAAAAAGGCCTATCTTGTAGTCCTAGACTCCGAGCCTGCGGTAAGCCAAAGCAGCCGCCGGCCTGACCATGACGGTTGGTGTTGTGGTTTTTGCGTCAGCTGTGGCTGCTGTGGCTGCTGTGGCTTCTGTGACTGTGCTTGGCGGCATCGCCTCGGCCGCCTCCCCGCTCTCGGCCGCGTGCTCCTTCAGCACGACCCGCACGCCCTCGTAGTGCTCAATCTCCTGCATCAGGTCCTGGTCTGTCGCAAAGTACACCCGCCGCAGGCTCGCGACGATCAGCTCCAGCGTCACGACGGCTGCCAGTGCTTCCAGCACCGTCAGCCACCAGATGGCCGTCCGGCCAAAATTGTGCAGAAACGTCCCCCGCACAAGATACGGTCCATTGCTCTTGCCGTAGACCAGCGACAGGAGGATGCTCCAGAGAAACCACCCGGTCACCGAGATGAACAGGCCCGCAGCCGTCACGATGGTTTGGCTGTGCAACTCCAGGACCCTGATTTGTCAGCAAAAGAAAAGAAGAAAGAGGGAAAGAGAACAGGAAGATTGAACTCACAGCATCTTGATATTGATAAATACCACACACACAGTAAAGGCCAGGCTGCCCATGGCATACAGGGACGTGTCGCTCGTAAAGAGCGCGCTGCTGTAGGTGCCGTAGATAAAGTAAAAGATGATGCAGGCTTCGCACACGGCCATGATCATCCAGCCGACGTACTTGCGAAAGCAGAAGCCCTGGTTCTGCTGTCCAAAGGCGTACAGCTCCGGCATCGCCAGCAGCGTCTCTGCGTGCAGGTCGCGTTCAAATATGCCCAGCAAGATGACCGGCAGCGACGTGAAGAGCGTGTTGAAGACGGTCAGGCTGGTCGACTCGTACAGCGACGTCCCGGTGTAGCCGTTGTACTTTTGATAAAGCGACTGCACCAGGTAGAAGAGCATCTCCTTCCAAAAGGTCCCGAGAATGTAACGACCCGTCCGGATGTAGTTCCACCGGCCGTGCACCAGCAGCAGCCGCTGCAGGAACTGAAACTGTGCAATCGAGTAGTCCGCGATGCGTGCCGCCTGCAGACCCTCGCGCCCGGAGATGCCGATGCCGACGTGCGACGCCTGGATCATGGCAATGTCGTTTGCCCCGTCGCCAATCGCCAGCGTCATCGACTGCGGCACCCGCTCGCGGATGCACTTGACCAGCGTCGCCTTCTGCGACGGCGACGCCCGACAGCAGATGACCGAGTCGACCCGAGCTACCAAGTCGAAGAACAGAATCCTCATCTCCTCCTGCGCCTCCACAAGACTCAATGTCTGCCCGTCGATCACCACCACCGAGTGCGGGATCATGCCGCGACCCACGTCCACCAGCGTCGATGCGATTCGCTCCTGTAGCCCGGCCTCGTCGGCCGATCCGTCCAGCACATACACCTCCGAGAACGGCTTGCAGATCCGCGCCGCGTGCGCAATGTTGATGGCCGTCTCGCGCTTGTCGCCCGTCAGCATCCAGATTTTCATGTTCGCCCGCCGCATCTTGTCAATCGTCTCCGGCACGCCTTGCTGCAGCTTGTCCTCGATCGCCGTCGCCCCGGCCAGGTCGAAGCTCTGCTCCAGCAGGTCAGCCGCCGCCTCGACCCGTTCTTGCCGGTTCACTAGGCTGGTTGCCGCGTCCTGATAGAGCGCTCTCCACTGGTCGTAGTCGTCTTCTTCCACGTAGCGGTACGCAAACAGCAGCGTCCGCAGGCCCTCCGACGCAAAATCGTCAATGTGCTGGAAGCATCGCTCAAACACCGCGCCCTCGTCAACCGCCAGCACCTCATCCACGAGCCCACCGTACGCGTCGTCATACAGGCTCTCGGCAGCTCCGGCCGCTGCTGCGGCAAGAACGTCGTCACGTGACCGACGCCGATGCTGGGCCACCATCGAGCTGCTCTTGGCCAGTCCGCCGGTCTCGATGTCTCGGTAGCCGGCCGGCTGTCCGTCCAGGTCCATGTCCTCCATCTCGCGCCGCGTCAGCCACTCGTCCATGTCGCCCGAGAACACTCCCGATCGCCGGTACGCCGCAATGTCCGCTGACCTCTTCGCCGACCCGATCCGCGCGATTCCCCGCAGACTGCCGCCGATCGTGCTGATCGTACCGGCTCGTGCAAGGCTAGCGCTCGTTCGCGGCGTTCCCGCCGCGCCGTGCACCCCGATGATGCTGGCCGTCGTGCTCTTCCGCCGCATCGCGCGCTCCTGCTCCACGCTCTTGCGCTTGCTCGCCCGCCGCTCCACCGCGGACGCCTTCTGGATGGCCATCTGGTTGAGCTTGAGCCGCGGTAGAATCACGCTGTCGGCGCCCTTGCAGAACAGGCAGATTCTCCCGTCCGGCATGCGGATCACGATCGACATGCGCTTACGCTTGCTGCTAAACTCCACCACGTCCAGCACCTCGTACGTCTCTGTCGTCAGCGTCCCGTCGAGCTGCTGGAACTGCAGCCTGATCGCCTGCGCCGGCCGGTCGATGAGCAGATAACCGAGATCGCGCGCAGCCTGCACCAGGGCCAACTCGTCCGGCGACGCCGCCTGGAACTCGATCCGCCCGTCGTCCATCGTCTCGGGCAGACACGTGTGGCACAGCGCAATGCACAGGATAAAGTGCCGAGCTTTTCGCGAGAACGCCGTGTGCGGCCGGTGCCGGATGTACTGGATCAGGTCTTCGGTCTTCAGCTCCGGCTGTGCTCGCCTTGGCCGCGCGCTGGACCGCCACTGCGACGTCGACATCGATCGCTTGGGCACAGCCTCGTCTTCTTCCAGCAGCGGCGCATCGGCCGGCTTTTGCGGCGTCCGAGGACGTCCGCCGTCTGACGACGCCTGCCGGTCTACAGGCAGCCCGAGAGTCGCCCGCTGCTCTGTGCTGTCGCCAGGGTCCGTGTCCTGCGCCTTGCCCTTCCGCTTCCTCTCCTTCTCCTCCGCATCGCGCGCAATGTCCATGTCGTGCAGCCAGGCTGTGCCGGCTACGCTGATCTTGCGGAAACGCATCTTGTTCTCCGTCAGCGTCCCCGTCTTGTCCGAGAAGATGTAGTTGACCTGCCCGAGGTTTTCCAGGATCGTCGTCGTGTTCGCAACCATGGGCGTGTCCGTGTCCGGGTCGTACATCTCAATGTCCTGCATCAGCAGCAGCTGGCCCACCTTGATGATTTCCAGGCTGACGTACAGCGACAGCGGGATCAGCGTGTTGAACATGATCACAAATGCAAACAATATCTGGCCAAGCGGAATGTCGTCGTCGTCCAGATACCAGGCATGACGGCCGTGGTGTGGCACCCAGATCCCGTTACCAATGGTACAGCCGATGGCCAAGAGAATAACAAAGATGACGAGCATGAACACGATCCGGTTGACCACAGACTGCATGGCCGGCGCCTTGGCTCGCTTGTTGCGGTGCGTGTTCATGCGGATCTTGCACTCCTCGCCCGTGTTAACCACCACGCCAATGACCTCGGCCGTGTTGCGCACAATCGAGCCGCGGAAGACGATCTGGTTAAGCGTCAGTGGCATCGTCCGCCCGTTGGCCACCACACGACCCTCGTAGTTGTACAAGTCAAGGTTGGGATCCTCCGAAACAATTTCCGCACTGCAGGCCTCTATGCCGGCCAGCGAGTCGCACTGCTCAAAGAGCAGCGGACATGCCTGTTTGGTCTTCAGGTTCGTCTCGCCATCCAACGCCATGGTCTCGATGTAGGCAATGCCATTTGGACCGGTCGCGTGGAGGACCACCACGTCGGCAGGAATGCTGTCGTCCCGCCGGAGACGCACAATGTCGCCGACCCGCAGGTCCTGCCATTCCACCGCAGCCCACGGCATTCTCTCTCGGCCCATACTCGTCCAGGTCTCGCTCGGGTTTAGGCCCCAACCCTCACCTTCAGCCTCGAACATGTCCCCGGCCGACGGAACGTTCTGCAGCTCCGTCATTCCCTCGTCGCCCATCCCGTCGTCGTATGGGAGGTGGCTCGCTTTCCGCCTCTTGCTCCACTGGGCAAGCGATGACTTCTGCTCGCCGGCTTTTCTCTGCAGCCACGACCGATCGCCATGCTTCCGCCCCTTGGACGACACCGTTCCACCCGGGTCAAGCACCCAGGCAGTGCTGCGGTTCTCCACCCGGTCGAGACGGTACCGACGGTAGTCATCGTAGCCTTCCTTGCCCATGCTGATGCAGACAAACACAAGCAGCGGAATGATGGTCGTATATGTTCCCGTCGTGCTCAGGCCCGGGATCATCTGGAGAATGCTGATGATGAGAAAGTAAAAATTGGCAAGCTTTGCAAACTGGAAGACAAGCTGCTTCGGCAGAAAGTCCCACACGGTATACCGACTGGGCCGAATAAAGTTGGAGATATAGGGCCGGCCGGTGCGCTCATCGAGCAGGGGTGAGACTCGGACAAGACCGGGCTGAACCGATATGTGGCGACCGTCAACAGAAGGCAGCAGTGGCTTCTGGCGCATTAGGCCCTCGACGATGTACTTTTGGTACAGAGCAGCTGAGTGCGTCTTCAAACGACCGTAGGGTCCGGTGGTCCAGCGGCGCTGTCGTTTTCGCTGGCGGCTGAGCCAGTCTCGATAATGGGCGAGCGTCTCGCTGGTGTCGGCCATGTGAGCGGAGGCTGAAGCGGCGATACCAGAGAGTTTTACCGGTTTATCGAACCGGTCGGCATCGTCGTAGGAAAGCCTGACATCGGGGCGCGTCGTCGACAGCGAGATTGGCGGATCGGCAAAGCTCACACCACTTCGGTGGGAGAGCCGATTGAGCTGTTTCTGGTGAACAGCATCATCGCCCATTCTTGACCGTCGTCTCGGTGGAATCGCAGATGACCCTACAGAAGAAGATGCCTGCTCATTGCCCCCGAAAGCCGGGGACCTTGCACGATCGGCCACCGGCTGTCGTCCTCCTCTTCCTCGACCAGTCCCTCCCCAGGACGCTCGCCCTCCTCGCTCCACTCTTTCCGCATCCGCTTCCGGGGGGCCTTCCGTGCGCGAGCTGATGGTGTAAAGCTGTGTGCTGAACCGTGATGTGGATTGAAAGTTGTGAGTCGGCGAGACAGGTGTTGCCGACAACGACGACGTGTATCGTGGAGGGGGGCCATGTTCTTGCGGCAGCTGCGACGTCTGTAGCGACGGAACCTGCGGCCGTCCATGCCCCGAGTTTTGCTGGCTCGACACGGACTCTCGAAGAATGTCCTCGGAAAATCGGACACGCGCGTCGATGATGTCGTCGGCGTCGCTCCGGCCGCCAGTCATGACTATGGCCAATTTCGTTCAGTCAGGCAGACAAAAGAACGATTCGGTTCCCTCGGTACAATCGCCGACAAAAACCAAAACGAAAGACAAACAGTCTCTTGCGGACAACGGGCGACAATCCCGGAGGTTCAGTATAGTGACAGGAGTCAGACTGCAAAAATAAAGGTAAATATTGAAAGCCGGAAGAGACAGAGACTGTATCTTAACTCGTCGCCTGTTGGGGAAAATAACACTGACAGGTTGACAAAACAGTGGGTCGGCCTTCTGTCGGGGTTTTGCTCAAATGCCAGCGCTGTCAGGTGTTTTCCTAGCAGCACTTAATGCCTCATGATTTCGCCTCTCTGCCAAAGTCTTTCTATTGTGCCAGACTTTGGCTCCTGTTCATAGGCCACCTTGCTCTTTGTTATTTTGGCCGTCTTTTCCGAACCAAGCTCGTATTGACTTACATCTAACGGCAGCAGACCACCTTTTTCACGTGTTCAAAACGGCCGCGTCACAGATACGAGATATATTTACCGCCAGAAAACTTTGCGCAAAGGCTGAGTAGTGCTTGGCCTATGTAGCCAAGCGTATCGGATTAAGGGATCAACAGGGCGAAGTTGCATGACGTGGCTGGGGTCAATTTCGTAGTTCAAGAACGAAGACTGTACATAGCACCGTGACCTGCTGCTATGTTTTTACTATATATTTGCCGCCACTAGCCAACTCGTTCAAAGTCGTAAGGCCGTCAGAAATTAAAGCAGTCCGTAAGATAGCATCTTACTCCGTACTCCGTACAGGAAAGCGCAATGTATTTTCAGATATCTTACGGAGTACGGAGTATATCGTACATACATAGTAGTCTGATGACAGCCATGAAAGATCGATGGCGGTTAACGGAGTCGTACTCCGTACTTTCCTGCCTACTCCACCCGTGGTGGCAGGCTAGGTTTTGGTGGGGCTTTGCAACTCTTCCGTATCTACGGAGTACTCCGTATCCTACTCCGTACATAGCGGAACTCCTAATACCAGATGACATCACAGGGCTTCAGCAACAATCGTTTTTTTCACGAAGTATTGTATCCAACCCGGCGTGCCGAAACAGTTTGGGTGCCCGCACAACAGCTTGATTTTGTTGGGCATTGAGCGAGAGCTTTCTTTGCACAGGTGCGACTCTGACGTTACCATCGTGGCGCAGCACTGCAACGCCTACCCTGTTTTGGAATGAGGGGAGGAATGGAGAAGTCTGCGTTTAAAGGAAGGCCACCAACTTACGCAATCAAATGGCCTATATGGGAGTACTCCGTACCCGTACATGTGAACTTCCCGTCATTCGATACCCCCGGCTTATAAACTGGAGCTCCCTTGCGCATGGCATCCACAGTCTGCCCTACAATAAATATATCGTCAAGTTCTAAGACTCATCCATTACTCCGTACTCTTTACTTTAATAGCTCTGCTTGATCGTGCACTTCAGGAGCGAACTCAATTGTATTTTCCAGTATTAGATCCCAGCCGTCACCTCGTTATAAATATTGAAACGAAATCAAGCAGAAACAGTCTACTCCACTTCAAGGACGCCGTTTCTCTCCAGGCCATTCCACGTTTCCTTTCTTCTTGAAGATGGAACCCAAAAAGTGTATCAAGGTATCCCGGAACCAATCCGACCCTCTTCTCTCCGTCCTCGAGTAGACAACCCACTGAACAATTTCTGTCCGACATTAAACGAGGAAATTCAAGGCCACCTGGGCGCTTTCCAGCATCCACATCTTCGCCACAAAACAAAACTAAAACGAGGTTCCCATAGCCCCCGATATCTTTCCGAACAGGGGACTATAAGGGCATTACGTGTTTTGTTTTGTTTCCACCTAAGGTCCGAAACGGCAGCCCTTGAATACACGAAACAGCCAGAAAATGCGAAGTTGGGCCGATAATAATAACGCGAGCAGAAACAAATGGAGACAGCGACAAATAATAAGCAACACAAATCAAGATGAAACAGGGCAGAGGAGAATATGCACGATCGCTGTGCCAGACACGCATGATCGAGATCCGAATGTAGGTTATCGTCATGCAGATTCGTGGCCGACAAAAGAAAATGAGGAAGCCAAATCGTATTAATAAGAAGATGAACGACTGGTTCGCGAAGGAAGATAATGCAGAAGTGACCAATCGAAATTATAACAAAACCGTATAGGAGATTTGCACAGGAGAAGCAGAACGAGCAAACTCGTTCCAGGTATATATGAGAACGCAGCCAAAAACGCCAACAGCAAAATGACGCAACCTGCGGGTATATGGACTCGGACAAACCAGACAACGCGACACAAATGAAAGGTCTCCCACGAAGCGCCTCCACCAATTTTCTCAGGCCACAGAATGCGACATGCTGTCAGGAGACAGGCTGGCTGCATCGACACCGTCAAACTGAACCAGCTGGTGCATGGCAAGCTCGGCCTGACTTTGCTCCGTGTAGGATGATGGCGACTGTTGGTGCAGAGGCAGATTTATGGTGTGCTTCGAGTACATCTCGTTCAGGCTGGTCCCGTCGTCGGATATGGCCGAGGAGCCGCCATGCATCGGGTATATGTCAGCAGATGCGCTGCGCTCCATCATAGACATTGGTGGCGACTGGTCCACGATTGACGGACCAGAACGGCCGTCAAACGACAAAGGAGAGACAGACTGCGGCGGCACCATGTTTTGCGGATCCACCATAGGCGACAGAAAAGCCGTGCCATAAGGATTGTTGTAGCTTGATGCCGACATGGTCGCAGACTCCGGCACCTGAGAAGCAAAATAGTTGGGGCTTGAGTAGTCAGACGGAGATGGCGCTGTAGTTGCCGACATTGGGTATTGCCGCATGTCCAGACCAAAGCCAGCCTGTGTGTCGATCCGTAGATTCGGGCCAACGGGACTGAGCGCATTGGGCTGCTGGGGGATCGGTGCGTAGATGTTCGGGTTGTGCGGGTGTGGCTGCGTCTCGCCGGGGTGCTGAATGTAAAAAGACGGCATCGGTGTCTGCAACATCGAGAAATCCACCGCCATGGGCACAGACCGACTGCGCTGCCGCTTGTGCCCTGGGCCAGAGTGCATGCTTTGGTTTACACCGGCCACGCCCCATTGCGTCTCTTGGAACAGCCCAACGTGCGGTTGGAGAAAGTTTGGTTGCGACGACGGACGCCCGGTGGGTGAGACCGGGGCCGACACGGACAAATTGTGGATGGAGTCCATGTGGATGGGCGCCGCCATATGACCATTTGAGCCCGTTGCTGCTGCCACAGCAGCTGCGGCAGCCACGGCCATATTGTGTGGGTTGTGAGGGCTATGGCGGGTCATGAACGACTCCAGAGATATGAGCTTCGCCAGTTGGCCACTCAGAACTTTCGGGTTGCCGCCAAGATGATGAACAAGACACTGCGAGGCCTGCTGGTTCTCGGTGAAGTCACCAACCATGAAGAATCCATTCGTGCTAGGAGAGGAGTCCATGAAGAAGTTGGGTGGCTGGTTGAGCTCAATAACAATGCCACCGGCCTTGTTCAAATCGTCTTCGTTGTTGTCGAGGAAAATATTTTTGATGTAGGAGAATGGATATTCGATCTTGTATCCTGCGTTCTCATTGTTGATGTAGTACGTCATTGTGCACTTATCCGGAGAGTAAAACACGATGAGGTCCATCGTGTTTTGGCCGACACGCATCCACTTTCCAATACTCAGGGACCGGCACGTAAGATGATGTATCACTGAAAAGTTAGTCAAGAGGATCGTAAGTCGAAAGCCGACAACAAATTGATACTCACAAACTTTGCCCTGGTTTGTCTGTTCACCGCCAAGAAGCATGCCAGGACCATAGCCCAACAAGCCGGTGCGCCCGTAGAAAGCACCGCCGAGGCCCTTTCCAGTCTCAGCCGCCTGCATAGCGAGATAAGCCCTCATTGACTCGGGTATCATATCGATGTCCTCGCCGGTTTCGAGGCTCTTCTTCGCCAGAAGCTTGATCTTTGCACGTCTATAACATGAGCGGTTAGTTCAATTTTAGCCAATGTTTACCAGACTGCGGCTATCAAGGGGATAGACATACCGATTTTGGAACCAGATCTGAACAGACCTTTCGGTCATGTTGATCTGGTCGGCTATCAAGAGCCGTGTCTCGGCATTTGGCGTTGGGTTCTTATTGAACTCCATCTCGAGCGTAGTAAGCTGGTCCTGTGTCGCCCTCTGCCGCTTCTGATTCTTCTGCTGCTGAGTCAAAGTGCTCTTACGCGTAGGACGTTTCGATGCGGACGAGTGGGTGCTTGTAGTCGGGGTGGACGGTGACGGGGTTTGGGCGAGACTCTTTGTCTGAATGCTCGGCGTGGGTGTGCCCATGCCCGAGGAAGACTGGGTGGGCGTGCCGATGTGCATGTTCATATGTCCACTTGCAGATTGCTGTGGGCCAGAAAGCGGCACGGACATCATCATGACCGATCCCGGATGGGTCGGCATTTCTGTCTTCACCTCAGTCGCCATTCCGGGGGACAAGGTGAAAAATATATTTGGCGACGGTGTGTAGCTGTGGTGCGGTGGCGATGAATATATTCAGACCGTAAGTCGACTACGCCTGACAGCGCCGTTGACGGGGTCAGATAGGAGGTAGGTTAGGGGCGTTCGGGAAGGGCCGGTATCGAGCGAACGACTTGTAGACAGATGAGAGTGACGATGACGAAGCTTGGCTACTGTAGGTCGTACAAAGAATGAAAAGCGATAATGATAAGTGAAGGAGTGTGGTGCTCGCCCGAATCGGACGGCGGTTGAAATAATGTTGAGATCTGCTTTGGTGAAGCGTCGGAGCAGGGTTGTGCTCGTAATAATGATTCACAAAAACGATGTGGAAAAAATATGGCTCAAGCAGAAAGAATGTAAGGCCCCTAAATGAGTGAGGGTGGCCACAGATTAGAGTGTAAGACGAAATTTTACAAACAAGTGAATGACTATGGTGAGAACAGAAAAGAGCGAAAGAAGGTGCGAAAGAAGAGGGGGCAAAGAGGAGGGAAAAGATATCTCGAAGAATACAACGACCGCGGAGGATGTAGAAGGGAAGAAGGAAGAAAAGCGAAAAAGGGAAGAGAAGGGGGGGGCAAAGAAGGAAACGTGAGCAGGCGAAGAGAGGGATGGGATCCTCTTGCTTGGGGGGGTGGACCTGATGGGGGGGGGGGGTGTTAGAGCGAGAGACGGAAAGGGGGAAAAGGGAAAAGACGGAGAAGGTGGGTCGAGAGGTGCAGTTCCCAGAACAGCGACTCCACTCGGGCCACAGAGCACAGAACGGAGGACATTGCGGCCAGCAGCACTATCGTTTGCAGCGTGCATATACAGGGCCGTGCAGCGCATCGACCAAGAGAAGGGTCTCAACACACGTATTAAACTACGTCGTACGCAGCATCTTACTCGTACATAGGTAGATGTCGTGCTGGATACGCTTGCACTTTCTATTACGTGTGCATGCGCCAATTTGGGTAGATGCCATTCATGTAAGAAATAGAGTAGAAAAAGCCCCGTTCCGGATTGGAGTTGTGGCTGGAGCGAAAGTCATGGCAAAAGGCATGCTCCCTTTCTTGCCCCGGTCGAATAATTGCTCCGTATTCTGCTACTTGGATCATAAACGAGTTACAGAAACGACCTGCGAGCTACGGAGTAGAGGTGCGGAACTTTTGCCATGGCTATTTCTTCCCCTTGTAAGTTTTGTGCTAGTCGTGGCAACTTACTCCGTACTCCGTACTATGCATATAGTACCCATTGCTGAAAGCTGTAGTTAAAAATATCACGACCAACGCCAGTGACTGGTGCAGGACACCGCGCCGTCGACTTTACTGGTGGGACTGTTGGAGCCAGTCAGACGGTGGCGATTCCACGAGTCTCCCGACCTGCCTCCCCCGGCTTGTGCTGCAGGATGGTGCAGAAATGCACAAAATGGTGCAGAAGGGCAGCAGGTTTGTTGGTTTGTCTCAAGTGCTCTACATAGTTAGATACCTGCATTCCATAGTTCTTTGGCTGGTGGCTGACCGGTAGCCGTATCTCACTCTTCAGGATGCTCTGCAAGATATCAGATACCTTACATACATAGCAGACAACGTCAACTAGCCTGATAGACACTTGCGCAACGGTCTAGGACCACAGCTGCCGACTACTATGTAAGATACTCTGTAGGTACCGTCAGATGCTTTTTGAAGGGGCTTCTGTTGCGCGCGGTGTGGGTGTGTCTCCTGGGAGTTTTTTTTTCTTTTTTTTTTCTGTGAGGGGGGCTGGTCATTCCCTACCACAAAACCTGCCCTTACGGAGTATCTTACAAGAAACCTGGCACCGTCTGGTTGGCGAAACGGCTGGTTATCGTGTGGTCGGCGTGCCACACCCCCTTCTGGCAAACAGAAGAGTGATGGCGCTCTCACCAATCGGAAGTCCTATCGGACGTCTGCACGCTAATCAATGAAACTCGGTCGGCTCAGCAGCACAGGGACAACGAGCGATAAAGAATAGCTATAAAAAATAACGAAAAACACAAAACACAAAACACAAAACACAAAACACAAAACGGTACAAAAAGGCAGCAACCTCGAAAATACGCAAACGCAACAGGCATATTATTTCTGCCTAGTAAGATACGACGTACGGAATACAGACGACAAGGCAAGCAAACACCGTTCGACCAGGCTACGGAGTACTTACTCCCTTCTTGGGTACTCGTCATGCACAGCGTCAGGAAAAGACGCGTCAGGACAAAGACAATGCCGTGTCGGACACAGACAAGGGGGGCGTGGGTGTCGTTTCCCGTGCGGGCGACGTCTTCTGATCCCTCGTCTGATCCCACAACAGACGCTGAGAGCATTTTGTCCAGTTCCGCATAACCATGTCTTTGCCTGGCCCGGCTGGAACCACAGAAAAAGGCGGTTTCTGCAAGGTACGAACCCGCTAAAGCGAGCCACCTAACGCCTTTACCCCTGGGCCCCTTTCCAACCTAGTCCTTTTACAGAACTAGTGTTCTTTAGGTGGCCCGCAACCCCTGCACTAGTTGAACTCAGGTCACGCCGTCCAGAGCAGCTGTCGAACAAGCTTGGTGTGCGTGCAGCTCGTACTCGTAACAAGTACACCGTACGAGGGATCATACTCGTATACTCGTACAAGTACGTCGTAAGTACGCCTACGATGCTAACTTTCGAAGAAGAAGAAGAAGAAGAAGAATAATAATAATAATAATAATAATATAAAATACCCCAAAGAGTTGCTGAGGCAGTACTCCGTAAGGCCGTGAGATGCCAAGAAGAGAGAAGTTGTCGATCTTTGCTACATAGGTGACTTTTCTTCGATTGGCTGTTTGTGTCGGTGCACCTCAACTCGTCGGCTATTTTGTTTCAAAGACAGATGCTTGTATCACTACTCCGTACGAACGAGTACTCCGTACGGAGTACAGTATACCTCCTCTGTCGGGGATGTAAACTCCGCATAGCACATCATACTATGTAGTACAAACCGCCCAACACTGCCGGGCCGGCTTCTCTCTGCGTAGACGATGGAACAGCCGTCGCGCAGTGAGGCTGATCGATTGTGTCTACTTCGTACTCCGTACGTTACCTGCAACTGCAACATCGCATCTCACACATAGGATCCGTACTCCGGAGAGAGGGCGCAGAGAAGAACAGATACCCAAACCAGGGGCGGGTCTACATACTATACAGTACGTACATAGTAGTACGGAGTAGGCCAATGGTTTTTCTCTGCCGATGCGAGGCGTGTACGGAGTACATACGGGTACGTCGCATGCTGCACGGGCACGAGTTACGGAGTAGTGGTGCTCAAGGTCAGGAACGAGCCAGTAGGGTCCCATCATTCCTGCGGCTTGGCCGGGTTTTTTAGCGGCCAGCTAAAAAAGGGGTATGAGCGTTGGGCATGGTACAGATTAAGGAGCCGAAGACCACGAGCACTCGTATCCTAGGTAGGTTATATCGTACTCCGTAGAACATCTACGAAGTACGGAGTACTCGTAAGATACATACGACGTGCTACTTCGTACTACGCCCGTAGGCTAGATGCGGCTGTCTTTACTCTGTAATTACAAACTACAGCACGAGTATACTTTGTAAGAGGGAGCAAGAGAAAAGGTCTCTCAAATAGGGCCAGACAGGGGAACGCGCTGAGAGGAACCGATGCTGCTTCTCTCGCCAATCTGTCCGTCTGCGTTTGGTAGTCTGTGCAGCCTTCTCGCAGGCTGTGAAGAGGACCCCCCTCCAATCATTAAGGACACACGTCAAAGCGTGCTCCGTGATCACGCTGCCCGCGCACTACCGACGATGGTCGATCACCAAGCTGGTAAACCTTTGCCGCCTATGGAATAGTGCTACGCTCTTCAGCGCCGCGAGAGGAGAAGAAAGGGGAAAAAACAAGACGGAAGAGGTGGGTAGCCAGAAATAAGAAGAGCATCTTAGGCATGGGGCGGGTGAGCACGCTACGTCGTATATCAGCTAAACGGCATCCGAACGCGCGCACGAGCCAGGGAGCAGACAGGCGATGCGATGAAAGTAAGATACGTGCACGTGCAGCGCTACGATACTTGTAGCATACTCCGTATTGAGATACATAATACTATGTATCACATACATACTACATAGTACAAGGACGCTCTGCGCCTTCGGCACTTCGTCTGTTTTCCACGGCGGTGAGCATCGTTTCTGGCTCCCTGTCCGTGACTCCTCCCAAAGCAGCCTTGTTTTGAGGCCTCTTGCGCCTAACCCCTTTTCGGCCTGGCCGACCCGGCCTTGCTTTGTGTCTACGGAGTAGCCGCGGTTGGCTGTACGGAGTATTACATAGTAGCACCGCCACCCCCCAAAGCGAGACCGGATAAAGAGACAATCGTCGGTGGGTTCCTGCAGAAGCGCGTTTCGCCGTCTTTCATGCTGACCAGAGTGCGAGACGCTTACGTGTACGAGTATGCCCACCGCGTTGCAGCCTCGGAACCTGCCTGACACGGTCCTGTGTTCTTGTTCGATCTGAACGAAAGGAAAAGGGAAAAAGAAAAAGAAAAAGAAAAAGAGGGAAAACATAAAAGCCTGCATCGACGCCCGGAAATACGTGTATACGTGATACTTGTAAGTGCTTCGGCTATGAGGAGGACACTGACTAGGCTGTCAGCTTCATCGAACATAAACAACAAGGCTGCATCCTGTCGTCGCCATCGAGAGTCTAGACAGGTCCCGCATGTACTTGCACTTGCAGAATATGCGCACGAGTACTCCGTACTCGTACTCTGTACAAGTGCAAGTACAGACACCCCTTGCTCACAAGCAAGCTATCGTACGACGGACGTAATGCACGTTCGCGCATGTGTCTTACGAGTACTTTGCCTGCGCGCTATGGACATTTACAAGGGAGTACGGAGTACGTAGCAGTCCATAGGCCTCACGCATTCTCCTTAGTGCTGCTCTGCTCCGCTGTCTTGGAGGCACAAGTGGGAAGGAAGGATCCCCCTGCGGACTAACTTGTGTAAACAATTCCTCCCACCTGGCCAAAAACAAGCCGTGATGTCTTGTATCTTACTTACTTTGTACACTACGTCGCATGTGCCGTCTTCTGACGGTGCAGACCGTGACAGCAGTCATATTGCGGGCTGTTCGTCATGGACCATTCAACGAACTGCTCGTGAATTAGCAATATCTGATCTGCCTGCCAAATATGTCAGATCGCATTCTCGTTTGTTCATCGCTTAGAGCCCGGACATCCTAATCTTCAGGAAGCTGCTTGCAGGCAGAATCGGAGGCGGTATTGTGCATGGTTGCCTCGTTCACTGTGTACCGCACTTACCCTGGGTCGAGAGTGGCTCGCAAGCTGCCTTAATCCCGCCTCATGGTTCTAGCTCTGTCTTGTAAAGAAGCTTCATCCGTCCGCTCGCAGGGGAAGGTCTCCTCGTTAAAACAAAAACCCGATTTTCAAAAGCGCATTCAAGCCTTTCTGCCCACAAGCAACAAACCCATTACGTAGTGTACAATCTCGTTGTCTGCTTCGCTTCTTTGGCGTAGTCGCCGCAGATGGCAGGAGAAAGATTGCGACAAGGGTGTATGGTCCATTGTCTCCTGCCAACCGTCAACGAGCACCCATAACCTGTCCGTGCTGGTCCAGACGACTACTCGTATTTCCTCTACACCGCACTGTTTCGGGCCCGTTTTCGTGCGCTTCCCACCACCGAGTGCGGCCTGTCGTCGCGCTCTCGCTTGAGCTTCTCGTCCAGCACGCGAGCTGGGCAGCATGTTAGCAGGACGCATGGGCAAGCCAGGATGGGTGGGAAAACACCACTTACTGAGCACATCGTAGGCAAACTGCGGGAACTCCAGACAAAGCGCCTGGAACTCCTTCTCGGCCTCCGCCCGCAGCGTGTGGCTGCGTGTTGCCCAAAACTTGGCCACCGGGCTGCGCACCGCCTTGTCGTCCGCCGCCGTATACTCGTATACATACCGCGCATAAGCGATCTCGCCCTTGGCCGTGCTGTTGACACAGTGGATCTTGCTCGACGCCAACGCCTGCAACGCCGGCATCTCCAGCCAGCTGGCCAATGTATATACACGCGCGTGCTTGAGCAGCTGCTCGCCCGTCTCGTCCACGTCAGGCAGATCTGGGTCAGTCTCCAGCTGGTGCGCATGTCCGGGCACCTTGCGTGGAAAGTAATCGCTCGTGTAAAGGTATTCGAGGAAGCAGCCGACTGCGTCTACGTTCTGGTCGGCTAGGTCAATGGTGCGCGGCTGTCGGGTTTCAGTGGTCAGCTTGCGCTCGCCCGCGCGCTTAGGACACAGATATACGGCAAGAAAACATAACTCACACTGCCGTCGTCTGTAAAGGCAGCGCACAGTTGCGCAAAATAGGGGCTCTGCACCAGCAGCGCCTGATGCGCCGTCAACGAGGCCCCTTTCTCATCTTCGCCCACGCGCAACGTCACCACTGGGCTCCTCAGATATGTCGTAAAACTCGTGCGCTTCGCCTCCGCCTTCTCTGTCTCCTCGCTACCTTCAACATTTGATGTGCCGACTACCAATGCTGCGCTTTCTGTCGTCCCGCTGTTGTCGTCGCCTGCAGCTATCGCTTCTGGTGTTGCTTCGACAGCAGCTTCGCCCATCTCCACGTCAGCAACATCAGCCGTCTTAATACTTTCGGCCGGGGCCTCTTCTGATGACATCATTGATTTCTGTTTTTGTTGCTAACGCGCTGTCAAAAGAGACGCGAGAATAAGGAAAATGTGACGAGGTTGGAAATTGGATGGACAAACTCCGTACGACGTACGGAGTAATATGGAGTACAAGGTGGATGGGGTATTATTCGCGCCCCTTGTCAGGTACCTTCCTGCGCGTAAAATGTTCGCCACCACCCAAATAGGCGTAAATAAACAAGCAAAAACATACCACTGCGAAAAAGGTACTTCTATTCCTTAATACTTAGTGTGCAGGCTATTCGCATCTATTACAGCCTGCATCTTTACTGGCATTAGCTTTAATTTATGGCGCTAAAAGTCCTTTAACAAAGCCTTCTAAGCCTCTTATACCTACTGGCGTAGCGTATTGTAAGGCACCCTTCTATTGTCTATAATATAAGTATTAATATAATCCTTTAGGCAGTCTTAGCATCTCTTTATAGGGTTTAAATTAAGGCTAAAGGAAGGCTATTAAATTACTAGCATCTTACAATTATATATGTTATATATTGTTGCTCTAGCTGCGTGCTTAGGTGCCTTATCTTGCATATAAAGAATAGAAAGACCTTAAGCCTTTAGGTAACGAATCTAGCTGTTAATAACTAGTAAGATGTTTTCTTAATAGGTCTTAAAGCTTATAAAGCCCTAGCTTTTCTTCTAGAAAACACTAGGGCCTCTCTCTCTATTGCTTAAAAAGCATTCCTAAAAAAGCTATCCTATTAGCTTCCGATTACGCTTAACAAGGCAGGTTTAATTAAGTTCTTTATACGCATAACGTATTATATAGATTTTATAGTGCTTCTAGTTAGTTACCTATATTTTGTCGCTTTAAAGGATTAAATTCTATTATTTAAGTATCTAGTAAAGGTGTTTAGTTACCTACGTTAGTCGCTTTACGCGGTTTAGTTTAAAGATATACAGCTTCTTTATAGCAACGTAATAACAAAAGCCTTTTTGTTTAAGCGCTAACTTAATCGCGTATTGCCCGAATTGTCTATTAAATAATAGTTAAGATAAGTGTACGTACGGCATCCTACGGTTCTCTTTAGTAGCCGTAATAAAAGCAATTAATTCATCTTTGTTTTCGCGATTAATTCGTAGCGCCAGGCCTGGTTTTTTTCGAGGGAGTATTGGTTGAATCGCCCTTTTAATCTGCGGTAAGGAGTAGCTAGTTGTAGCAGCTATTTCGTCTTTACTGTGATGCCAGCGGTGAAAAAGATCGTAGACTTCCTGCCTTTCGGCGCTTTAGTAAGGTGTTTTGGCATGTTTTTAGTGATGTTTTCTGTAGGTGACAATTTAGTCAGATTACAGTGGCATCAAAGTACTGCTATTTCGCCACTAATAAGAGTGGTGAGACTACTTTAAAAAGTGGGGCTATTTTGACTGGCAGTCACCAGTGGCGAATCCGAATAATATCCCATCCACCTCGTATTGTCAAGCATTGGAATCCGCCACACTGTGGCCCTTCCGCCCCACTTGACTGTACGATCCTGTGATTGGTCAGAAGGCACAAAAGCGGGGCACGACACTAGTATTAATACGGACCCCCAGAAGGGTCGCGATGTATCTATTTCTTCCTTAGTACACAACACTCTTTCGCCACACACTAGACCCTATTCAGCCTCCTGCTCCTCACAGTGCATCACGTTATATGACCGCCACGTATAATCTCCACTAACCTTTACAAGTATCAAAGCGTGTCTAGGTTATAAGTGGGCCAGCCATGCGCCAAAGAGGTTACGTCGTAATATTTAAAAATGTCACGTGCCGATCTCTCCTTGTGAACGTTAGATCAAATATGCCCGATTTTCTGCAATCACATTTTAAACATGTGTCTTGCAACTGCTACGCAAACCATTTTGAATTTACTCCGTACCAAGTTCCTTCATTATACGGAGCACACGTAAGAGCTGCTAATAAATGCACGAAATCAGATTTGCTGTCTGCTCTGTTAAGAAGATAACATCCACATGATTACGAGCAGTATTACTGTCACCAGCGCAATGCTGTTGCCAGCGCTGCCACGGAGTAGCACTTTTGCTATGCAACAAAATTATAGTAATAGCCTGAAAGTATTATGAAGTACTCCGTACTCTATACAGAGTATAATTAGCGATAGTACGGAGTACTTAATACGGGTGGTAGAAAAATGCGTTAGCATACGTACCAGTAATATTCATTTAATATATACTGCCCGATGTAAGATAGTTGATCAATCGTACCAATACTCCGTACACATGTAGCAACTCTCTTGATTATGGCAGTAGGCCTCTTACGGAGTACATTCCAGTCGGCCTCCTAGCCAGTCTCCTACGCCAGTCTAAGCCAGCCCTATATAATATAAAACACTAGTTTCTATAAATTCATAGTGAAGCAGGACTATACAGATTTACTTCGATGGGAGTTCTTACGGCGATGCATCTACGTAACTTGTTCTGGCGATACCAACGGTGGAATACTAAAATCGCCGTGTAAATCAGAGTGGCGGTCAGACGACAGAATATATATAACAGCAACTTGACAGGGAGGTAGGATACCGTGGATGAAGAACACGACCGCAAGTTCTTAGTTGGACGACGTGATTGCGTCTTCTTAAGCTCGTAGATAGCAAAGCCCAAAGATTATCACAGATTAGTAAGGAAATAGCTGAAGAATCTTGAAGATTAAATAAGACGTCACCCAAGTATATTTTCACTCCAGACTAAACAATCCTATTATCATTATACTTACACTGTATAAGCAAGCCCCCAAGACGGGATACCGCTAACATGCCCCTGCATGTCGCTCGCGAATTCAACGTTCAGCTCAGCCTTTTTAGCTCTTTGGGCCCGCTTTTCTCTTTTCAAATGGCCGTTGGCTAACTTAGATGCAGGCTCTGGTTGGTGGCTGATGTTTTAAGCTAGCTGCCCAGACTTGTAAACGAGCTATGCGATATGACACGCTGGGGACATCACCCGCGCCCTTTTGCCCAAGCTCGTCCTTTCTTACCTGCCAAGACGACCTGTTCAAAGTCCAGCACCTTGCGGAGTAGGCGGTGGTGGGCTAAATTTCACCCTGAGACACATGATCACGGAGTACTACTGAAAACCCAATGCGGCCAATGGCGTCAGATGCTTATTTCGCGAGGCACAATCTCCCAAAGCACGGACCGGTAGAGTCAGCCTCCAGTTTGTAGAATATATGGGCCTCGCAAGGCAAACTCGATCTCTGGAATACAACGAAAGCTTGACAAATATGGCACTTGCAGGCTACTCACTATTCGCTGCGGGATAATACCTGGCCCGACACCGACATAACCTCCATTACGTACCATCTATCCGTCTTCTTGGAAGCATAAATAGATCTGGTATCTCTTTTTCATCTGTTGGCTTCCCCCGTTTTCTTTTCCCAACCCAGCAACCTCTCGTCAATCATTAAGTTCCTAGTATCTTAATGTTTTTCTACACCTTCTTCTCTCTCTAGTCGCCTTAAAAACCCCAATTCTGTTCACCCGGAACATTTTCAAAATGTCTAGCGGCCCCGTTAACGACAAGGACGTCGAGGAGTGGAAAGCCCGAATTAACAATATTCTGGCGAAGCCTACCGATCACATCAACCAACGCTCTCCCGATGACTCGCAGCCTTGGTATACATCCTTCTTCGATTGCTGCAGCCCCATCGACCTTTGCTTGACTTCCTGGTGTCTTCCTTGTGTCACTTTCGGCAAGACGCACCACCGCCTCCGCAAGGATGTCAAGCTTGAGGGATATGAGCCCATCAACACGTCGGTAAGTAAATCAAACGATGCCTAACACACACTTAAGTAGAAGCACATATTCTAAGAATCATTACAGTGTCTGTTCATGTGTGGTGCCGGATGTATTGGTCTACACTGGATTCCTCTGTCTATGCAACGTGCCGATATTCGCGAGAAATACAATCTTCAGGGTAACTGCATTGTCGACATTGCCGCAGCGTGCTGCTGCGGTCTCTGCGACCTTGTACAGCAGGAAAAGGAAGTTTCCCGCCGCGGAAATCTTCAGCAGGATGCTGTAAAGCAGCAGTACCAGTCTAACAACGAGATGGCTTACCCGGGCGCCGCTGCGCCTAAGTAAAATTGTCATCACAGGCCGAGGGTTTTGGGGTGGTGACTTTCGAATTTCTATGCTTGTCCTCAGGTCCTTAACCGTTAGACGGATGGGTCTGCCAAATTTTGTCGAAGTAACAAACATACTATAATGCTCAAGTGCGCCCTATCATAGAAACCGCCAATACTAAGCCGCTGGTTAAAGTTCATAAGCGCTTACCGAATCCATACCGTGGCTACATAGTTGTGTCACCAGTGTTCTAATTTAACTCACTTTGGGCCGGCATAGTCAAGAAATGGCCTCGTTATCTACTTTCGTATTTACAGACATAGAACTAGATAATATGATAGCAGACTAAACACACACACCCCCGAATATACACTATAAGACCTCGAAGTATCCAAATATAATAATTGTTGATACTTACAAAGAGAATTATGCGCATTGAAGAGAGGGGAGGGTGAAGGGGAAAGGGGGTTCCATTCAAGACTTAACACCATCCAGACGTACATTGCATACGCCATGGCTGTCTCGACTCTACCGGCTAGCCCACGCCTCAAACAGTCCGCGGACCGGCCTAAAGATAAAGCGTATGTCGGAAAGCTGTGCAATTAAGTTACAGTTATTAGCTCTGGAGGTAAAACTGTAGGCCCATGCTATGGGCCGGCTAGTGGAATTGTATTGGGGTCAGTATAGGTTGTTGGTTTTGGTCTGGCGTGCTTTGTAGCTACATCTCATTATATCGCCTCTTTTCATGCTGTTGCCTTAGCGCCAATACATTTGTCTCGGCGGATTTACATCGGTTTTTGTTATGTATACTGCCAGGGTTTTTTGGGGGGGTTTTTTAAAATAGAAAAAAAGGCCGTTGGCTTCTTGCCATCCATAGTTATGTTATGGTAGAAACGGTTGGTTTTAGCAGACATGTATTGAAAGCCTTCTTCTAGAAATGAACAAAACCTTACTTCCCTGATGAAGATTGCCCTCTCTCTGACAAATGATGAGGGCAATCTATGCGTAATGCTTTAGTGCTGTTGCCTGTCCTAGCCTTCCTCAAGCCATATTGGGTATTGCGGCTGAATCACAATTGCGAAAGTACCTAATCCCAACATGATAAGCGAAAGCCTTCGGTTGGACAAAACACTGTCTGAGCTGCCTGATTGCAGTGTGTGTACGACTAAGCCAGTGTCTTGCTTGTTGTGATTTATATGGGCAACTTCTATAGGTCTTTGATAATAAGCTACCTTACATTATTCGGTAGTAGAGAGTACGAAGTACTGATGTGCTAATTAGCCTAGCTGCTTATTTTTGTTAGATTGCCCTTTGGTTTGTAAGCTAATAATATATATACCTATACTCTGTAGTCGCTAGAAGCTATTAAGTGTTTGTTGTGATAAAACCGATTGACGCAACACATAAACCCCGGTGAGGTGGGGAAGATAGCAATTTTGTCACAACTGATGCTTATGGCAGGGGTAGGCGGTGCACTGTATGGGGTCTTCACGATGTGGCTGATGATCTGTGTGTTGTCAAATCACTGCTTACTTAGCATAAAGGGTTGGTTATATTACTAAAGAGAGTAGAGGAGAGGATGCAGCTATTCTAGAGGGATAAAACTCTGCATAGGGTGGAGCCCTGATTGACCAATCAGGGCTCATCCGCATGTCACATGACTTGTGATTACTTAACACCCTCCTGATCACTGGCATCGTGACATGATCCTGAAAACACCCTCCTCTCTCTGTTGTACAGCAACTTGCTTCGCCGCAGCCTTCCTTGCCATGTGGAGGCATTCCTAAAAGTCATGAGCGTACCACCAAAACGGTGGTATTGGTTCGCATTCAGTCTGGGTATTTCATCAGCACTAAGGTGTGTTTTTCGAACGTTAACCGCGGGAGCGGTTTCGTCATAATATCGGTTAACTGATCGGCTGTATTGATTCTGACTATGCTTGAATGAGCGGCTTCTACCTTTTCGCGTAGGTAGTAGTGCTTAATCTCGAAATGTTTTAAGCCGGGTCTGTAGCTAGGAGACTGTAAGAGGTTGATCGCACTGTTGTTGTTAATGTGCATGGTGATTATCCCTTTGATGCCTAGTTCCTCTAGGAATTGACGTAGCCAGGCAGCTTGGGCAGCGCCTTTATACGCTGCCGCGTATTCTGCCTGCGTTAATAATGTAGACACCGTCTTTAACTGCCGGGAGCACTAAGAAACAAGCCTTTTAGACATTATAAATATATATCCGTATGTGGAGCGTCTATTGTTTGGATTGTCTCTTTAGCTTGCGTCGGTATATGCTTTAATAGTAACTATAAGCTCCTTGTTGTCTTTGTCTTTGCTATAGCGTATGCCTTTGCTTGCCTTGTCTTAAAGATATCTTAACACTCTCTAGAGCTTACTCCGATGCTCTACCGACGGGTTTGCTATTACTTTTGCATGTTGCCCGACAGCGTACAGGAGGTCGACTCTAACCATGGTTTGTCCGTATATTAGCTTGCTAATAAGCTTTTAGTAGTTAAGTTTGTTAGTGCGCGGGGCTTTATCTTAAATAATTACGGTGTTGGTAGGGGTAGGTGCAGGTCAGGACTGCGTTATCTGCTATTTAGTAAGTATATTTTAAATGTACGTTTCTTATAAGATAAATATCTTAGTCTCCTCTTCCTCCGCGATAGTAACCCCTAACTCTACTCCTAGGAGCTAGGACGGCGTTCTAACAAGCTTTGCCTCTAGGCGTTTTGTAATGTCCTTCTTAAACTAATTTAGGCGGTCCTTTATGCCTATGTATAAGGCATTGTTAACGTGTGTAATTACTAGGATGCCTTTGCTATAGTAGCATACCGCGTCTATTAGCATAACAACTAGTCTAGTCTTCTTTATAATGCTTTTTAAGGTTAACTGCTACTAGCGTCCTCCTTATTTTAATCTATACAAGGCGCGTCTTGGTTTAATAATCTTCTCTAGACTATATTCTATATCTTCGTAAAGGTTAAAGGAGGCTATACGTAGCGGTCATATAACGTGATGCACTGTGAGGAGCAGGAGGCTGAATAGGGTCTAGTGTGGGCGAAAGAGTGTTGTGTACTAAGGAAGAAATAGATACATCGCGACCCTTCTGGGGATCCGTATTAATACTAGTGTCAGGCCCCGCTTTTGTGCCTTCTGACCAATTACAGGCCAGTACGGCCAAGTGGGGCGGAAGGGCCACAGTGTGGCGGATTCCAATGCTTGACACTCCCCCTGAATACGCCACGTAGGCGCACCGCGATGCACTGAAATCATCCTCGGCAGCCCTTTTCACGGCTGCCAGCCTATCAAGCGAGGCAACAGCCTCTCGAACGCTGCCTTAGGCAGCGCCTTCGTCATGATATTAGCGATCTGATCCTTAGACTTTACGTACCGTACCGTCAACAAGCCGCCTAGTACGCTTTCACGAAAGTAGTGCCACTTAACGTCGAAGTGCTTCGAACGCTCTCTGAATTCAGGCTTCTTCGTAATGCTGATCGCGGAGGTGTTGTCCACGAACATCTAGATGTCGGCTTAGAGGCCCATTTCGAGCATGAATTGCTCGATCCAGCGGGCCTGCGTTGTTGCGTAGTAGGCGGCGCCGTATTCAGCTTCACAGGTGGAGGTGCTGACGGTCGGGAGCTTCTTGGCTCTCCAAGAGACCGGCCCTCCTGAAATCCTAAAGACGAAGCTGTACGTGGAGTGACGATCAACTGGATCGTCGGCCCAGGACGCATCAACCCACCCTTTAACGCAAATGTGCCCCTTTGGAGGGGGCTTCTGACGGCGGTAGACTACCGCGTAGTCCTCCTTGCCTCGCAGGTAGCGAAGCGATCGCTTGGCTGACTTGGCATGCGTTTCCCTGGGTGATTTCATCACCTTTGAGTGCTGGTGTACAGTGAAGGAGATGTCTGGTCTCGTCATCACACCAGCGTAGATCAGCTTGCCGTTCACGTGCTAATATCGAAAGCTGTCTGCCAGGGGCTCATGCTCGTCAGGAGTCACCAGACTGGCGATCGGGGTCGCAACAGGCTGCGATTCGCTCATAACCTCGCATTCGAGGCGGTCGCGAATGCCGCCGACTGGGAGAGGCTGATCTGAGTACCCCCCTCTGTGGTGGTGATCCCGATCTCGACGCCCAGTAACCATTCGGGCGTTGGTGTCATTTCTGTCTCTAGCAACTGACGCATACTGAGTTCGAACGAAGCGACGTCAGTTTCGGCTCCTCCATAGAGGGCATCGTCAACGTGCGTTACCACGGTCACGCCTTTGCCGTGATACGTGGCAGGGTCTGTCATGAAGGGCCTAAGCCCTGCTGATGCCATGGTTTCGCGCAGCTTCTTCTGCCAGACGTGGCCGGCTTGCTTTAAGCCGTACAACGCTCGTTGTAGCCAAATAACGCGATTTGGCGCCTAGTCAAGCCGACGTGCTACTTCGGGTTTTTGTTCGAAGTACTGCTGAAACAGCTCTCCTTGTTCCATAAAGATATCTTCGTCCAGCAGTCCGTACAGGTAGGCAGCGATCACGTCGAATTGACGCAGGGTCCAGTCAAACTGGACAGCTAGTGCCACAAGCATGCGCCAGGAGTCTGATCGAGAAGTCGATGCGAAGGTTTCGTTATAGTCGAGGCCCTGCCTTTGCTGAAAGCCTCTGGCTACCAGCCTCGCCTTCTTCTTTATCTCTTCTCGATTCGGTCCTCGCTTTTGCTGCAGCACCCACCTGCTAGTGATCGTCTTCCTGCTTTTTGGTTGGTCCACAAACTTGAAGACGCCTCTTGCGATCAAGCTGTCTATCTCCCTAAACATGGCCTTACGCCATTAATCTAACTTGCTTCCTGACAGCGCCTCCTTCACAGTTGGCTTATCTTTTTCTGTGTTGTGCGCACTTGGTGCGCGCTGTGCAAGGTCTGCGCTGCCCACTTCCATCAGATTGCGCGCGGCCTGAGGCAGCACAGGTTAGTGTATAATGCGTAGTTATAAAGGCTTAACTAGTTTGTACTATTATATTAAGACTTTAACTTAATAAACT